AGTTACGTCCAGCGGCTTTGTTTCATTTTCCCACATTTATGCCTTTCACAGATACTAAACAGTTAATAAACCACCATTACGACACATTTAAACAAGAAGACACATTTGAAGAAAAACTAAACAAACTAAAACAATTCAGACAACTTCGCTCTTCGCGTTCCCGCCAAAAGTCATATTTATAATTCTACTGTGGATCTTAAAACAAAGGGGTCAGTTATCATAATTCTTTAACCGGAATTTAATTAAAATAAACAGAATGGTATAATTTTATCAATCTAGATAAGTACGTGTAAAAAGTTGGTATCTATGTACAAAATACGCTTGGTTTTTTTTTTTATTGCTAAGATGGGTGGACGAGCTCACAGCCCACCTGGTGTTAAGTGGTTACTGGAGTTCATAGACATCCACAACGTAAATGTGCCACCCACCTTGAGATATAAGTTCTAAGATCTCAAGTATAGTTACAACGGCTGCCCCATCCTTCAAACCGAAACGCATTATGCTTCACGGCAGAAATAGGCAGGGTGGTGGGACCTACCCGCGCGGACTCACAAGAGGTCCTACCACCAGTAAATCGTATCGAACCGAATATCCTTCATAAAGGCGTCGTCAAATTGACTAATAAAAATGTAAAATAGACCTTATTACAACTATGTCTAAAGTGCTCAGACTTCAATTTTTTTTATATTGTAAGGTATGTTTCAAGCTTGCAAGAAATTAAGTTCAAATTTAAATCAAATTGCTACTTAAATGTCATCAAGCACGCATGTTGAATGTCAATCAAGTTATACTCTACCAGCGACGCCAAAATGAGCGACAATGCTCGAAGATTCCGTAAAAACTTAGCGATCGTGTATGGGTTATAATCTAATAGTCCAATAAAATTGACACTTCAAACTCAAGTCTGTATTCAAAACGAGGAGTGATTTTTTTGCTCTAACCAGGGCTGTCGTCCGACAATTATTATTTAGTTTAAATTGAGCAAAAACATTTTTTTCCCTAGAAAAGTGTTACTATTGGCAAGAGTGTGTAGGAAGTGAAAAAGCCGCAATAACACCCCGTCGGGTCTTGCATCAGCGAGAAGGTTGCAGTGTGATTACATCAAGTGCTGATTGCGATACGCCTCTCGCAGTTACCCAATGTACAAAGCTGGAGACAAGCCCTGAGCCCTATCAAAAATGAAAGTNTTGAGCAAACACATTTTTTTCCCTAGAAAAGTGTTACTATTGGCAAGAGTGTGTAGGAAGTGAAAAAGCCGCAATAACACCCCGTCGGGTCTTGCATCAGCGAGAAGGTTGCAGTGTGATTACATCAAGTGCTGATTGCGATACGCCTCTCGCAGTTACCCAATGTACAAAGCTGGAGACAAGCCCTGAGCCCTATCAAAAATGAAAGTGCGAAGCCGGTTGTGTATTACGCGCTTCTGTACAAACATAGCTGTTATACAGCGGAAGTACATATATTTTACTTAATATCTTAAACAAGATGCAATAAATAGTGAGAAATAAAAATAACGGTTTTCTTACTTTATACGGAAATTAGTACCCGTATTTGCTGTATTTCTATATAGGTTCTCTCCGTAGGTAACTTACTGTAGAAATTAATGTTTATAATTGGGAATACTGAGCCATTGTTAAGTACAAAATCTTCGCTTACTTCGCTTAGGTATTTGCCTACACAATAGGTATTAAGTTTATTGCGCACTGTTCTTAATTCACGAGACACAATTCTCCGAGACTCGGGTGGTATTCATACTTACCTACTTATTTAGGCGATGACATAATTAGAAACAATGATGTCAATAGGTTTTTTTTTATAAAATTAATATACATAACATGGCACTTAATACTATTCATAGATGTACTGTAATTACTAATACCTACTATAAATTACTAATTTCATCAGCTACTTGGTGTGCTCATAAATAAACCATTACCCTTCTCACTTAAAATGCTGATAGCTTGCGGGTGCTTCGCGGCGAGTTTTGATGCGTCCACGACGTTGGTCATTATTTAAAAACAGAACACATACGTTGACATAATCGCGCATCCATATTGGACAAAAATACATTGTTTTGTATGTCGTCGAACAATACAGTTAACAGTAACACTGTTTCTTATTCCGTACGGATACGGACGCTCCGACCGAAGGGACAGGCCGGCCACTTGGAGTCTGTAAATACAGTATACACACAGTCCATTGTAATTCAGATTGGACGTCGAAACGCACGGGTCGGCATGCGGCAATGCGGATACATCGTTTTACATTAACAAATCCCTTGGTATCGCTCACTGCCTGTGTACTATGATTGATATGTTGACTGGGCTTATCAAACCCGTTCACGAATACGAAGTTAGGGAACGGTAGTGTTAATGACTCCTGATGTCCTCAGAATACAGGATAACCTTTTTCTGCATTCTGAGGTGGCTACCTAATTATAAATTTTACCTACATTACATACTGCAACGAGGTGTGTAGTTTGGAAAATGTAATGAACAAAGCTCAACTCAAGAAGGTATTTTATGATAAATCGTATTTAAATTAACACGCAACCACGTCTCAATAAACTACTTCTTCACATTAATTCACCGTACAACGCGATGCTTCTAGGAAGTTCCATAATTAGCTTCTTCCGCGTCTCCACCCACTTTATTAATCACTAAACGTCTCAAGTCTAATAAAAGTACGGCATTTATAGACTGGTAGTATAAAATACATAAACTAAAAACCGAAAGAATGGCGATCTCTGTCCAACATCACACAAACGGATTTCAAAGGCAGGCCATTTTTCATTGGACCCATAAAGTCAGGTGTTTATTGGAAGCCTGTCATTTTAACGATTTTTCGACCCAGATTTATTTTTCTATATTTCAATTAAGACCAGAACTATGAAATCCTATTGGATTCACTTTTTAAATATCAAAAAATAGCAACTAAACAACCTTTATTGCAATTACAAAATATTTAAAATTATAACCAAAATGAATAAAATATGGATTTACATTACAGGCACTAGGGGCCCAGACCCACGGCGGCATAAAAAATAATAAGGATTGTTTTTTAAGAGTTTTGCTTTTAAAAGGAATCTTAAAAAAATCTTGGGAACCTGTAATCAAACACCTCCTGTGGCGGCAAAATATTTTTGATGGATATGTTGCTCTGATTGTAAACATAATCTCTTTTTATATTGTGAATTATAATTTCAGTGACGTCTTTTAGTTTCGTAATCGAACAATCAAAACATATTGGACACCTATTGAGAGCTGCTGCCGCATTTTACTCAAAGCTTTTGTGATTGGGCGCTGTGACGAAAAAAAGGTTATCGGCGACTTTTGAGTTTTAAGAATGACAAAACATTCTATTTGTACAAAATCTCATTGTTCAAGAAAAAAAAGAATACTGTGCTTCCATTGCGAAAGACGTGATTTTGATAAAGGGCCTTTTCGATGGCAATTTTTTATTGCTGTCGATCTGATGGCCTAGTAGCTGTTAAGTGGCAACCAAAATGGACACAACAACGTGGATACCACCATCTATCTTGAAGTTGAAATCACAATTCAGTAATGGCTTTCTTTTCAAAACATGGTTTTGCATGCATGGTTTCTTGTCCGGTCTCAGCAGTAGGAGTAATTCTAATGGTATTTAGTGTAAAAGTATTTTAGAGTTTGTGCTGTGTCTACCCTATAGTAGCCCTCAAAAATTTGATAATTATGGGATATTCAAGGCACTTACATTGGAACAAACTGTAACTTTACAAAAAAGTGTTTTCTGTTGCCAACACCTATTCTAATATTATTTCTTTTTGATTAGAAGGGGGAATTATTCTTAAATAAAAGAAGCTTTGGCCTTACAATTATCTTATGATGAAGCGCGATATCCACGTTTTGACGTTAATGAACTTCGATGATCAGGTGACGTTAGATAGATCATAATTTCTACCAGAAATGCATTATACATTTAAGAGAACAATCCTCGTACTGTTGGTGTTCGTAGATCCTGAAAAGATGCTAAAATAATTCAAAGCGGAAGCTTAATCTTAAATTTAATTAATTAATTTTTGGCGGGAGTTAACTGTTTTGTGTTAATTTTTAACCAAGTAGGAATTGACAAAGTGCACAAATTTTAATGTGGTTTCGGGTGAACGAGTTCATGACTCATTTGATGGTAAGTGGTTACTGGAGCTCATAGAATGTGAAGGCACATTCTTGACTGACACTGAAACTGATTTTTAAAGGAGGTCGATGAGTCATCTCGTAATTTGTAGTGTTTAGCGCCTGAACAGCGTCATGTTGCACGCAGGGACACCAGCAATTTGGAACGCCTTGTGGTGACCGGTAAAATAGAGGGTAAAAGGCCTAGGGGTAGAGGTCCCAAACGATGGTCGGACCAAATAGTGGAGGAACTGGGGATACCTGTCAGCGACGCACTCCACCAAGCTACAAAACGGGATCGATGGAGACAGCTGGTTGATGGAATCGAACGGAGTCACGATCCTCAGCAGTGAGGGACCGACCGAAGACAGAGAGAGAGCGCCTGCACGGAGCCCATAACTTCTTAGCGGCCGAAATATGATTTAGAGTACCTTCCTAAATACTTATATCACGTTCTAAAATAAAATCATAACACATGCTTTCTCTAATGTTGCTAAATTGAAGCCTCTTTACATTCTCTGATGCTTAATGAAGATTCTTGGAATTTAACGAGGCTAAAAAGTCTAGAAACAGCTGCCCGTAATTTTTTACAAGCAAACCTTCAGTGTCAGTATCCAACTTTATGAAAAATCGGATTTTAAGGGTGCGAATACTACGAACGTAAAACGATAAGACACTGACATAGCTTAAAGCTGTTATGAAAATGTAAATAATAATAGTACGGTCTATGCTTTCTTTACCTTTAGAATAGATAAAAAAAAGCAATTGACATTGACATTGACTTTTCAAAAATAGATTTTAATTTTTAACAGAATTTACTAATGTCAAACCATTGAATTGTCAAACGGTGCAATGCAAAATGTACATAACGCGAATTTGAAAATAATATATGTTTAGATGTATCAAAACTGGATAATACCAAAAATAAATATGCAGAGTACTATCAAAGAGCTCCTAGATGCATTAGGGTGAGTCTCTTAACTTTTGTCTTAATGTATAAAGGGGAAAATATTGGTACGACGAACATGGTTTACGAATCAATTTAAATTGAATGCTATTTAAATTATTAGATGCAACTTGGAAGCCGACTCCGTTTTTGATTGCATTCAGAATGATCCCAACTATGGAAACTGTAACCTGTCCTCAAAACAGGTTAATGAATATGCACAACGTTTGGCACTGAAGGCATCGAATGCGAAGGCTTTTTTGAAAAAGTATGAAGAACTCAAAAACAGAAAGTAAGTCATTGTTTATTTACTAATATATAATATAAAAACAATTTAAGTGGCCTCTACAACCAAACACCTGCTGAGACAAATAAAGAATATGATTTTAAAACACTAAGATTTTAAAAAGTCTTAAATTCTATCAGAAATATTATTGTATATCAACCAGATAATTTGGTGCTAGTCTAAAAATTAATCTGAAATAAAATACTATTACTATTATAATTGAAATAAAAATTGGTAGAAGGGAAATAACTGCATACAACACTCAGTTGTTATTGTGTTCCGTATAGAATAAAAGATACTAATGGTGTATAAATGGTCCATTTACAGTACCGACAATCTGTCTGATGTAATAGTGCTATTTTACAAATTAGTTTGTGATGAAAGAAAGGCTAAAATACCAAAACCCAAAGTTGCACCAAAACCTATTTTGGGTGACAACAAACATCAAATCACAAAAGAAGATTTGCCGCAGGTAAATATTTATCACACTTGATTTTATGTATAAGCTACTTAATTTTTGAATAGGTACAGCATTTAACTTATCGGTAAATCTTAAGTACCAAATTATAATTTTAAGAAACTGATAAAAGGATTTGCTAACTAAAATTGTTAGTATTTTTTACTGTTTATACTTTCAATAAAAATCACTTTTTGTATCATTGTAATTTTGCTTACAGTTTCTTGAAAGAAAAACACACCAGTGCAGTCTATTCCATATATAATAATAGCTTATATAGTACCTCTCATATTTATTTCTTATTATTAATTCTGAGACACATGGTACTTGGAATATAATGTTTTGCAATTGTTGGAGCAGTAAAATGCTTGTAATGTTGACACTGACAGTTGTATTTGCCATGACCACTTAAGGTTTTGTTGTTATGACATAAGTATTTTATCTAAATAGCAGATGTAAGAGCTTTTATCCGCTATTGATTTATTCTGATTTTGTTAAAATGTACTTTGTATTCCAAGCAATTCTGTTGAGGAAATTGAAAATCTCTGATGCCTACATGTAACTGTTGCGTATAACTAATCATTTATGTATGTAAAATTACAATAAATTGTGCCATTGATTTTGTGGATTTTACAGATAAAGGACAAACTATTGAAAGCTGTGGATGAGAGTAAGAAACTTGTGATGAAGTCCTTTGAAGAGAAGGAGTCCAGACTCCAGCCAACCTGGTACAGCAGCTTGGATTTACCCAACTGGCAAAAAGACCATCCTGCCATGTCATGGGACTTCCCAAAAGACCCTGTGCCTATAATTTCATCATTAGGTATGTCCAAGGATAAAAAAATTATAAACTGTCACAAATGGATATTCTCTCTGATTATATACACAATATGTAGCTTCTATAAAAATTGTGCTAGTAATTACACTACAGCAATGTTCGTATGTTACCACCAGTTATCAGCGATACGTCACCCCTAATTCCATAATTAAATACACAAAAAACTTCACGTAGATGTGATTCACAAACCAATACAATGCTTGCAAACCATTGTTAACTAATTATTTATATATTTACTGAGTGATTACTTTTCAATTAAGTGCTGTTGCATTATGAATGAAAAGATTTTATATTAACATGAAGTAAAACTACTGCTTTTCTGCATCAGATACTAAAATACATAGTAGATTCTTAGATTAGGTTGGATAGACAAATGCTAGTGATAGATAGTGTAGGTTTACCTTGATGCATTTTAAATATTATAATGGTACTTTACACTTTCCTCTTTGCAATCCATCACCCTGATGCTGTCATTATGCTTTTGTCTCATACTGCTTGTTGATAAATATTTACTAAAAATATTTATATTTACAAACTAAATTACCATCCTTTTGCAGTCAGATAAGTGTTCACATAGTATAAGACTAAAATGTAATATTATTCATGCCATTTGCACTGCACGTAAAGTCATTTGGAAACTAATTGCAGTATTACATTTGTTTTTCAGCTGGTATACCCATTGCGTCTCAGGAAAATATCCTTATAGATGAGCTGTTATACATTTTCTATGGTGTACCTGGAAATTACATAGTACACCAGCCAGTAAAAGATACGTATGATGCACGTACTTTCCTCATATCAGAAGATGTAGATGACGCATTAAAACAGATTGTACAACAAATGTTACCATTAGCCTCCAATTATTCCATAGTCAGGAGATTTATAGAACACTGCAATATGTGGTCTGGTCAAGTTTTACATGCACTTGTTGCTGCAATTGAAATTTTACTGAAAGATTACTATGTAAGTTTACTCAAATAGCTTTCTATTTGCCTCTATGGAATGAACACAACATATCTTTCTTTTAGATTTTAAGCAGGTATAGTTTTTCTTTGGTAATCTCTTAATTAGTAATTGTTTGAAGTTTTCGAAGGTTTAATGATAGAGGAAAAATCTTCCACTGAGCAAATGAAATTATACTTGGTAGACCGACTGTCAGACTGTTGTTGTTCACAACTTGTATATATGCAATTTTATCCTGAAAATGTCGTAAGCGAAATTCAGGAATCCGTCAAATATCTTGTGTTCTATGACAGCTACCACTACAAAGTCATCATTTTTAAAGTTATTCTGGTCTTAAGGATGTCACCTAGTGTTCTGGTCAATAGTGGAACAATTGTGAAAGTTGAAATATTGAATTGTAATAGGCGCATAATTCTTGCGTAATTACAAATGCACTTAACATAAGTTTCAATTATTAAATTAAAAAAGGATATTTTTGGATTACCCTCGTAGAGAGATCAGCATGCGGCCCACCCGATGGTTAGTGGTTAACGTCGCCCATGCAATTCAGTAATGCCAGGACAGAGCCAAGCTGCCTACCGTTAAGTACTCTTCACAAGCCTCGTTTGAATTACGATGCTAGAATAATTTTATGTAATTCAAAGCAAACCCGAAACAAGTAATTACTTCTATTACTACTTGTGAGACAGCCCATTGTGAGCTTGCACACTTAAGTTCCACCATCTTACTATGTCTACCACGGACCAGTCACACATTCTGGTTTTAAGTATGAAACAGCCATTATGCAGTAAAATAAGATATTTATGACCTTAAGTTTCAATCTTTCATGATGTTATGCAATGGACTCTGGCAAAAAGTTAATAAAAAGTTTGTTGTGATAATTATAAAATAGTTTGGTATAGAAATAAAATAACGAACTTAATTACAGACTATGATCGCGCAACTGGAGACGGAACATATGACGGGAAGTTTGTCATTACAGAAATTATGGTATTTTGTGCTACCCACAATGCACACTATGCAAGTTCTTGCCGCTATAGTTACGAAAATTGGAAAAGTAAGTACGACTGTAATATGAATTTGATTCATCGTTTGCATTTTTGTGATCATGGTGTTTATTTATCAACGATATTTTTCTATTTCATAGTCGACTAGCGACCCGCCCTTGCTTCGCTTCGGAAACTGTAATTTATTATTGATTTCTCCACTATTTAATGGATGTTATTATACATATAAACCTTCCTTTTCAATCACTCTATCTATTAAAAAAACCGCATCAAAATCCGTTGCGTAGTTTTAAAGATTTAAGCATACATAGGGATATAGGGACAGAGAAAGCGACTTTGTTTTATACTATGTAGTGATAAAGTACGAACAGATTTAAACGCTATTTTCATCATAACTAGACAAAAGCAAATTGCCAGAAAAGACAAAAATTGCATAACGGAAATTAAAAAGTTCCCATGAAAGCGTAAATAAGTATAATTCAAATAATAACTGCGAATAGTGAAAGTCCAATCCTTTTTTTTTTTTTCGTAATCTTTGATATCCTAAGAGGCTATCCAACTACGCGCCGACGAGTAAGTGAGCTCACAGGCTCAACTAGAGAGAATTACCAACATCAGCCCTAGCAAGAGCAGTGCTACGCTGAATCTACTGTCAGAGCGGAATCGTGTCTTACTGAAAAGATCCGGCGAAAAACTTGGTGGAATAATGCAACATTTACATTAACTCTGGTATTGCAGAGGTTCGGGGGTGTTAGAAACCCCTTTCCATTAAATGGTCCGCATACAGTCTCGATTGTAAAGGGAAAACAGTATTTGATATCTTATTTATAAAAATGAATTTTTGTTCCTCATAGATGCAATCGCGCATTTTTGTACTTCTTTTACTTTGTTAAAATCAATCACCGGTAACTCTTAGTTACCTACTACATATTTATCACATTTAGTGATGGTAAAAGGTTCCGCGAAGAACTGCTCTTGCTAGGGTTAGTGTTAGCGAATTCTCTCAGGTTGAGCCCACCTACTGAGGTGAGCTCACCTACCCGTCTGGGCGTAGCTGAAATTGACTATCAACGAATAGGTAGAGGAAGAGATAGTGAAAGTAGATAATGGTTTAGTAAATGAAAAAACTTCTACCAAATATTAAAGGTGCTAGGTTTTATTAGAAAATAAATCATCTATCATAAATCACCATCAGGTGGGCCGTATGCTCGTCTGCCTACAAGAGCAATAAAAAAATAATAATAAAAAAAACGTATATATGAGTCGTCTATTATCAAAGGCGGCAATCTGTGCATTTGGACAATTTTTTTTTATTGATATGTCAATACAGATTGATTTGAATATAATCGTCTCCTTCAAAGAATACGGTTCAAAACCTGCATTAAATAAAGGTTAATAGTTAACCTGTTATTTATCTAAGATGTCGTTCCGAAGAGTTTTGTGACTGCCAATGGAATACAAAGCCAATAATTCGTTTGTCTGATTTACCAATCATTGTCCAAAAGTCAGATTGCCGGCTTTGATAATAGTCGACTCATATATAAATCTACAGTGGTTTTTACGGATGTTCCGTTATAACTACTAAACCATGCATCCGATTGACTTGAAACTTGGTATCTATGTAGAAAATACATGTACTTAATGGATAGGCTAATATTTATATGAGTGATGAACTCCTTACACCAATTGCGGGGGCGTTAATGATGAGAATCTTTGTGAGGGTGAGAAATAATAATGTTAATTTTAACTGCCCAAAGGACGGGCACAGCTAGTATTATATAAATTCATTGTCCACTTGATATTTGTTTTAATTAAATTATGAATGTGAGAGAAAAATAAGAATATATATTTTTTTTAAATCCATTAAAATCTCACAAGTACCTATGAATTTCTACTTAATATCCACAGAGTGAGCTCCGTGGTGGAGCAGTTCTGACAGTACTGCATGACAAAACCAACACATTAATGGGCGACGCACGTGCACAGGAGATATCATTGTTCCTAACAGAACGCGCTTGCCGGCCATACCTCAACGTCCTGGATCAGTGGATACATAAAGGAACCATTGTCGATCCATTTCAGGTACATACATTTACTAGATTTATTTATGTTCATTTAAGAAAAGAATTATCTGGCTCTTCTGTAATTTCCTTTGCTGTAAGTGACAGATTTATTATCAAAAATAAATATTTTAAAATAAAAATAAATAGTAACTAAATAGTTACTAGGGGTAGGGCATACTGTGAGCAGCACAGATCATCACTATTCTGTTGGTTGTTTTGTTGCTCTGTTGGTTGTTTTGTTGTCCTGTTGGTTGGTTAGTCGTTATATACCATTGAGTCTGTGACCTGTCTCAAGATAGGCAACCGCATTCAGAAGAAGTCAGAAGTCGTCGTGGCCTAAAGGATAAGACGTTCGGTGCATTCGTATCTAGCGATGCAACGGTGTTCGAATCCCGCAGGCGGGTACCAATTTAATTCTACTGAAATACGTACTTAACAAATGTTCATGATTGATTTTCACGGTGAAGGAAGACATCGTGTAATAAAAATCAAACCCGCCAGATTATAATTTGCGTAATTACTGTTGGTGGTAGCACGTCTTCAGAGTCCGAACGGGTAGGTCCACCATTCTGCCTGTTTCTGCCGTGAAGCAGTAATGCGTTTCGGTTTGAAGGGTGGGGCAGCCGTTGTAACTATACTGAGACCTTAGAACTCATATCTCAAGGTGGGTGGCGGCATATTCGTTGTAAATGTCTATGGGCTCCAGTAGCCACTTAACACCAGGTGGGCTCGGAGCTCGTCCACCCATCTAAGCATTAAATAAAAAATATAAAAAAATTACATTGCGATGGACAAAACCACCAACAGCAAAAGAAAAAAAAAACAGTAAGAAAAGAATTACAATTAACTTTTCCAGGAGTTTATGATAGAAGACAACGAGTTAATTAACAAAGAAGAGCTGCCTGTAGATTATTCTGCTGATTATTGGGAGAAGAGATATTGTATACAAAGCGACAGAGTACCGAAATTTCTCGATAAGTTCACTGACATTATTCTTCGAACTGGAAAATATTTGAACGTTATCAGTCAGTGTGGTAAGTTTTAAATTTTGATAAAAAAAAGGTTAAATACTTTTTATTTGATCATGTGACAGATAACCTTTGATAATGTTACACCTGAGATATCAATCTTTAATTAAATCCCAATTTATAGATAATGAAGTTCAATGACATCAAAGACAAAATAAGGTCAGCTATCTATTATTTCAGCTTATCACAATTGGTTCTACTATTTTATAGATATCTATGCGATCGTCATACGATGAAATTTCAATAAATAATTACTAAAACTAAACTAAATAAGTCTGGTTATAATCTATGCTCTAAAAAGTTTTGTATTTTTGGTACATAATAAAAAGTTTATTGAAAGGAAAGAACGCCTTAAGAAGTTTCACTTCAAAAAGCAATGCAATATGTAGGTATTCAACCGAATATCCTTTGTTAAAGCGTTGTCAAATGAACTAATAAAAAAAAGTAACATAGTCTTTATTACAAGTATGCCTAAAGTATATTTTTTTATTTTGTCACCTAGGAACATATTATCCCATATATGTAAATTACCATTCCATATTCACGGTTTCTGTTTTCGCTGCATATTTACGCAACACATACCCCGCGAATAAAGAGATTTTAGTGTACATACTAATTAAACTTTTAATAAAGTGAAGTGTTGGCGTCGATCGCACATCGTTGGTAAATTTTGTTACGTTTCAGGAAAATCAATAAGCAAGACGAACACAGACGAAATAAAATACTCACTAAGAGAACAAAACTACGGTGCTATAATACAGAAGGCTTACGCTTTCGCAAGTAAATCATTGCTGGAGCTACTACTCAAAGAATACGATCTGATGGGTCGATTGAAGTCTGTCAAAAACTACTTCCTAATGAGCCAGGGCGATTTCATCGTGCAATTTATGGACGCGACCGATCAGGAGTTATCGAAGAAGATAGACGACATTATACCCTCCAAGTTGGAGTCACTTCTTGGACTTTGCCTTAGGTACAGTTTAATTTTTATATTTTCCTATTTTGTAAACTTTACTAAAAAAAACGCCTGTTTAATTTTACGTTTCCTTGTTACCCGGTTCGTTCCAAATTTGCTTTGTTTACTTTTGTATCTGTAAGACATTAGCTCCGAATTAAATAATTGTATTAATTGTGCAACAATCCAGTGTTTTCTTTTTTGTTAAATTTTGCAATTAGGATTTTTTAAGATTATCGCATCAGAATATTCTATTATATTATTCCCGCGGTCTTCTTTTTGAGAACATAATGTACATAATGTATAGTTAGAATTAACAGCCTAGGTTAATGAAACTGTATTCTCTACAGGCTCTCCGCTGCCAGTCATGATCCATATAATGAAGACATGAGAGTTGAACTCCTTCCGTACGATCTGCAGTTCCAAATGTTCAAGATCCTATCCATAGAAACAGAAGAGGAGGAAGGTACCTATAATATTTAAAAATAGAGATAAATAAAATAAATATATAAATACTTGTATGAGAAACATCAAATTGTTTGCATTACTCGCGCGTTAGCCGTCGCACGTACATCGACTACTAAGTTTCACCACAATCGTATGAATAGCTTGGAAACGCATAGAGGACTAAACATAAAAACATTTTTTGTTGTAAACCCCAATATAATATGAAAATGAAAATCGCTGTTGAAATACTGCTACTATTAAAAATAATTAAAAAAATTATTCAAGAATTTACTTTATTCATTTTATTGCACAACATACAAAATGTATCTACTAGATTCATTTAAATTGTTTATTCTTAATATAATTAATATGAATATTATGTTTGAAAAAAGTCGTAACATCAAAAGATCCAGCAGATGTTGATTGTACGGTATAAAAATATTAGTTTTATTGTCGCTATAAAGAGAAAATAGGCGAATATGTTTGTTTTGTATATATGTAATATATCGAATATTTTTTTTTTCTATCTTGGCTATTTATCTAAATTGTTTAATATTTCAGAATACAAACACAACAAAGATTGTCCTCCGTTGACTGGCATAGAGACATTCTCGTTCGGCATGGAGGTGAAATGGCCGGTGTCCTTAGTGCTCAACCACAAGGCCATCGCTTGCTATCAGATGATATTCAGACATCTCTTCTATTGTAAGCACGTCGAGAGACTACTTTGCAAGTTTGTATTCCGTTTTAGATCTATACTATCATAAAACTGTAACAATAGTCTAATTTTTACAAAGAAATATTGACTAAAACAAAAAAAATGAACAATTCAAAAATCAATTGTCTATCAACTCGTCGCTACTGGTATACATAGCAGAGATTGTGCCATGAATCATTTCTTCTTCTTCTTCTCTGTCGTTTTCTCATTACTGAGGGTCGTGACCACCTTGGTCCAGTTTTTGCACCAGCTTCCTCCAATGCTGCCTGCATTCGGCCTGCTTAATGCTTAAGCAGGCCATGAATCATACATGCCGCATAAATGTAGGACAAAATTAATTGCACAATAAATTAACAACATATTTTTATGAAATCAAACCTCAAAGTTATTCTTACAAAATTACTTTCCATTTTGTTAAGGTTGCTAAGCAATAATGGGCTCCGGTTTCAGAAGATATTTTATTTTAATAAAATTATTGATACTTCGGACCTCGTCTCTTGAGGTATACTGCGACGTTTCGGTCGCTGTATGTTACTCTACAAGCACAGTAACAAACAGGCTACGTGATATTCACAAGTGCTCCTCACGTGTGGTCCTAAACCGAATCTATGACTTTTGGTCCTCACCTATCTCACGGTCTTGTAGTCTTATTTTTTTTTATTTTTTTTTGCCCTTGTAGGCAGACTAGCGTACGGTCCACCTGATGGTGAGTGAGTACCGTCGCCCATGGACTTCAGCAATGCCAAGGGCAGAGCCAAGCCGCTGCCTACCGTTAGTCTCTCATACTGTCTTCGATTTACTTAACTATCACAATAAAAAAAGTATATATCTATATGTAAAGATACTATATTTTTTATAGTACTTTTGTACAGCGCTCTATAGCTCCTATGTAATAATATAGATGGCGCTGTCGATAATGGTGACATGCATTGCATATTGAAGGGTTGACATCTGCCATGTTCGGACATATTGTTACTTTGTTGGTATTAAGTTGCATAATTATTATAAAGAATTAAGAGTGGTGGATTTTAAATGTCGTTTCTTTGTTTTCACGTGAAATACCTATTATAGGTTTGCAATGTGATTGTACTGTTACTGTTACTGTTGTGTACTTTTTAAGTTATTAAAATAATTAAATCTTTGTTTTCAGAGCAACGCCATGCTTAGTTAGTTAGTTTAGTTAAACTTACAATTCCTATTTATAATTCCTAGTAAATTAAATAGAATTTTTTAAATTTTATTTTTTTAAAGGGATTTTATGACCTGGTAACTAATACTTTTAAGTCATGTCTTATTTTAATTAATATTCTTAATTTTATGAAAAATGATAATATGGAATGAAATGAAATGAAGATAATTAATTTGAGACATTAATCAACTGGGATGAAATTAAATGAAATGAGATGATATGGGATGAAATATAATCTCAGTAAAATGGTAGTCGTTTACTGAGATTTTTTTAGTGGACTTTTTGGAGGAACCCGAGTAGTTATGTCCAGCAGCTTTGTTTCATTTTCTCACATTTGTGCACTTTCACAGATATTAAACAGTTAATAAACCACCGTTATTACACATTTAAACCTGAAGAAACACTAAATAGACAAAATAAAGCAAATCACACAAAGTCCCGAAAAAGTATTATACATATATATATATATATATTTCCGTGGCACAAAATCTAATCGTTGTCGCTTGATCATGTATCCCTCGGTGCGCCAGGGTGTGGCTGTACAACAAGGTGGTGAAGCGGTTCTCGGAGGCCCGCCTGTACGCGGATGCGTTCGCGCTGCGCCAGCGGATGCTGAGCTGCATCCAGCACCTGCAGTACTACATGTGCGTCGAGGTCATCGAACCCTCCTGGTGCCAGCTCATACAAAGTCTAGATAAGGTAGGTGATCGTTTACATATCGACGCTTGAAAGGCAAACGTGACTAAGCGACAATAACTGCTTTATACATAAATGATAGGCAATAACCATATTCGATGCGCAAAAAAATATATATATTTCTAGGTCTATTTAAATCATTTCAATCCTACAGATAGATTCGTTAAAATATTTTTTTTTCAGGTATTTCAACTTAAATTAGTCTACTGTAAAGTTCACGCATTGTCGCTTAGTCACATTTGCCTTCCAGGCGTCGATATTTTTAAATGTCAACATGTCATGTTTTACTGGTGGTAGGACCTCTTGTGAGTCCGCGCGGGTAGGTACCACCGCCCTGCCTATTTCTGCCCTGAAGCAGTTATGCGTTTCGGTCTGAAGGGTGGGGCAGCCGTTGTAACTATACTGAAATCTTAAAACTGTATCTCAAGGTGGGTGGCGCATTTACGTTGTAGATGTCTATGGGCTCCAGTAACCACTTAACAACAGGTGTGCTGTGAGCTAAGCAATAAAAAACAAAACAAAACAGTAATCGATTCAGGTTGCTTTTTTTATTGCTTAAATGGTTGGACGAGCTCTCACGGCCCATCTGATGTTAAGTGGTTACCGGAGCCCATAGACATCTACAACGTAAATGACGCCGCCCACCTTGAAACATAAGTTGAAAGGTCACACTTTTAACAGTACAACGGCTGCCCGGCCTTCAAACCGAAACGCTACTGCTTCACGGCAGAAATAGTCGAGGTGGTGGTACGTACCCGTGCGAACTCACAAGAATTCCTACCACCAGTAATTACGCAAATTATCATTTTGCGGGTTTCATTTTTATTACAAGATGTTATTCCTTCACCGTGCAAGTCAATCGTGAACATTTGTTAAATACGTATTTCATTGGAAAAATTGGTACCCGCCCGAGATTCGAACATCGGTGCATCGCTCAACACGAATGCACCGGACGTCTTATCCTTTAGGCCACGACGACTTCTTCGGCGAGTTTTGATCTAATATTATATATGGCGTGGTTGTTTGTTTGTCATTGTANAAGATGTTATTCCTTCACCGTGCAAGTCAATCGTGAACATTTGTTAAATACGTATTTCATTGGAAAAATTGGTACCCGCCCGAGATTCGAACATCGGTGCATCGCTCAACACGAATGCACCGGACGTCTTATCCTTTAGGCCACGACGACTTCTTCGGCGAGTTTTGATCTAATATTATATATGGCGTGGTTGTTTGTTTGTCATTGTATTCTAAAGGATAAGGATAAAGATGCCTAATGTATCCGTGTCAAACAATGCGACTATGCTGGTGTTCAAATCCCGCAGAATGGCACCAATTTGTCCAAATATATACTTAATAATAGGTTGGGGAAAAGTCTTTTCGCATTGTAGTTTGTATGAACTTGTAATTAAAGATCTTTGGCTGTACTATTTGTATCTGGCTGGTTTTTGTATGATTAAAAGTTTAAATTTTAAAAAAGATAATTCCAAATTCAAATTAGGAAAATGTGTGATTTTTATTTATTTTTTGTACTGTCAAGATGAGTGAATCTAATAAAGAAATTGAATACATTTTAAATTTTTGCTACAAAAAAGGTAAAAATGCAACGCAAGCCGCGAAAAAAATTCGCGATGTTTATAGACCTAGTAAAATACTAATTTATTATGCACAGGACCTAGTGCAGTGCCTGTGAGAGTAGCACAAATTTGGTTTTAGCGTTTTCAATCCGGAAATTTTGATGTCAAAGATGCATGTCGCTCTGGTTGTCTATTTTGTCGCTATTTTGTGTCTGAGTCTCGTATAGAGACACAAAATATTTCAGAACACTAAATTCCTTAGTAGAAATTATCTCCCTAAACTGTATTACTCTACGATATCTGATTGAAATCATGGTGCTTTGAATAGTACCTAGGACTACTTCGGCTTAGAATAGATAAACAAACAACATTCAATGGAATTATGGAGTCTTTATTACAAGATATATTATTACTAATTAACAAAATACAATCAATAATCAGATTCTACAAAATAATCTATTCTAATTCATCTCCCATAAAAACATCGATGACATTCAAGGAAATGTGCATTTTCGTTTTTTAATACTTGTTTTGTTAACAAAAATGCGTAATTAATGTATATAAAGATTAGTAAAGTATCAAATGGAATATTCTTTAGTATTAATTGCGTTGCGATTCAATGGCTAATAATACTTTCTTCAGAGTTGCCTCGAGATTTTCAATTTTATTTTCGTACATCGAAAGCTTATCATCGAATTCGGTTATCTTTGTTTTATTACTAATCACTAGCTTTGCGTTTTTGACAATTTTACGATCCAGCCTATAGTTTTGACAGCGCTCGAAACAACACCCCCCGCTCCTTTCAAGGTCTTTGTCATCGGCGTGCGGTATCTCAATTATATTGTTTTGATTTGGTTTAACAAGTATTTTATATTTCGGCAGGAAATGGGGAAACAAACAAATCCTCTTTGCAAAGGATTTCATGAAAAAGGTTTTAGGTTTAATGAGATTTAAGTTTTGAATGTTGAACGGCAGCAACGACCAACACTTTGATGGTCGTGAATGCGTTTTCGCGCTACCGATAAGCACGCTCTCGATATAAGAAATAAGTTTAATTCGAGAAATATGCCCCACTAATTCGGCGTCTGCCCTAATTTCTTGTGTGTCACTAACTGCAAGACCGTTGAGTAAATTAAAAAGCACAATGGGTATCATGAAAACGAACACGATGAATATAATGTGACTCGTTAAGGGATATGTACTGAATTTTATGGAAGATGCATCGAATTCTCCAGTTAACATGACGATGGTCTTAAATAAAGATCTACCAGGATCTTCGAAGAAATCTTCTTCTTCTTCCTCTTTACCGGCTGTGTTGGGGTCTGGTGCTCGCTGATCTTCTTCATTTTCTTGCCTGAATAGTGTGTAGAAACTTAACGCAAAAGCTATTATGAGAATGCAATACCAAAGTAAAAATTTGAAGAAATTCCACGAAACCGTTTTCAACATGACGATGTTAGTTGACAGTGTCGGAAACTGTCCAATTAGTAGAACTAATTCGGCTGATGATAACAAAATTGCAACCGCTGAAAGTTGCTGCTTCGTCGATTCTGTAGCCGATTTAGAAAACACTATCCAAATCGTCACAAAAATAAGACCGATTTCCATCCAATTTTCAATGCTCTGTAAATATCTTGTCGGTGATAGTAAAAGTTGAAATAATTCCCTGATCAATAGCAAAACCACACCAATAATAACACCGACATGTGTGATAACGTTTAACGCCTCAAAAGAGTCTCGTTGTTTCTTTTCAGCGCCATATCCCAAAATAATATAGAGAATTAAACATAACCACAAAAAGGAATAAAACGTTATGTTCGCAAAAAAAAGACAGCTTATTCTTTGCCATTTTAAATAAAGAAAACTTGTTATCACTGGGTGTTTTAGCAATGGTCGTAATTCTTCATTTCGTGTCATGTATAACAAAGCATCAGTTTCGGGTGCTAATATAGTATCATACTCTTTAACGTTATTGTTAGTATTGTCGATTAGTGGCACTTTACAAAGTTCGTTTTCTAGCGAATTATTTGGATAAACTAGGAAACTGTATTTCATGTGTATTTCATAATCGTCATTGCTTGGTCTTTCGTTGTTCGTTGTGACACATTCATCCAAGAATGCTTCCAATGTTTTAGCATTAATATCTGCGAGTGGTGGTTCGTCGAACGAGTTACGCAATCCTATGCAAGCCCCATTTCTAAGTAGTTCCAGTACAGTTTTATTATCACCGTTTCTTGCAGCATAGTGAAGGGCCGTGTTATTTTTCATATCCATATGGTTAACATTAATGTCCATTTTAGGATGATTGAGTAATAGTCGCAAACATTCATCAAAATTAACATTAGGGCTATTTATAGATGAGCGCCTTCCTTTTATAGTAATTTGCACTAGAGATTCCGAATTAACTGGATCGAACAAAGTCGACTCATTATCAATGAACATTTTAACAATTTTGTAATATCCGTTTTGACACGCCAACGCAATCGGTCTGCTCGTATTACTGGAACAAGTTGCGTTAGGATCCGCCCCATATCTTAATAAAGTATTGACTGCTTTTTCAAAACCTTTCTCTGTTGCTAGTTGTAACATAGTATTCATACCATTGTTGACCGGCAATATTTGACGATGTTCGTTTTTGTTAGCAAGTTTTAGAAAATCTCTTATAAAGTTGTCCTCTTCGTGTCTGCTTAAATATGAGAATAATTTATCAGAGTCTACAATTTCAGGGTCTTGAGTAGTCGAATCAAACTTTGCTTCTAGATACGGGAAAGCTTCTTTTAAATAATCGCGAGCAGTTTTACCCCTTCTATCTTTGTACGTGTCTATATCAATAGCGTGCTTTGCATAGTCAATAATTAGTGTGATAACTCTTTCTAGGCCTTGTTTCGCTGCACTATAAATAGGAGTTACACCCTTAAGGTCTGGTGAATTTGCATTACATCCAGCTTTTAGAAGTAGTTCAATCATATCTTCATATATTGTTAATTCGTGTTCACGGGCATCGTCTAGTTCTTCAATTTGTTTGACGGCCATCAATATCGCGGTGTTCCCCCTACTTTTAACGTTAACATCAATTCGGTCGTCTTCTAAAAGGGCCGCAAGTGCGTCTATGTTGCCATTTTCGACAGCAAAGTGTATGGGTGCGGCAGAATGTGTAACGTTCACTTTGTTCACTTCTACTTGATATTGTAATAGTAATTTTACGAATTCTAATTTGTTTCTGTCGCATACAGCTACTTCGAGGCATGTTTTGTAATCAGGATATTCATAAACATGTTCGAGATCAACGTTGGCTTCGGTAACGAGTTTCTTGAACTTCGCGTAGTCGTTATTCTGAAGGGCCTTGTTCAACAGCTCTTGGGGATCGGTTCCAAATAAAGAGCTGTTTCTTGATAATTGCTTCGGCTTCATTTCGTAATTATCACGTGACATGATTCACCGGCATCTGGAAACAAAACAAAAACGGTGTGTTATTACGAAACCACAATTTGCTGATTGAATCGGTTTTATTTCAATTACACGTAGTACGTTGAACGTAGCTTGCACTATTATTTCATTAAAACGTGTATGTATAGTAAAAAGGTAATGGGTATATTTTTCGGAAGCTAAAATTGGTTGCGTATGTCTAATCTTGGATAGATCTTAATATCGCCACAGCTGCTCGTGTTTATTCAATTAAAAACGTTTAATGATTATGTAAACGTACGTGTGAACTACTTAGGATCGAAAACGGACACCAGTTTACATCGTTAATCATGTTAATCTTTACGTCTATTAACAGTTCTTGGGCTTTTAGAATTTTGTGCGCCGTTGCGTAAATATTTGTAAGTATAGTTTTTACATTCAACATTAATTGCGTTATTCCAATTTAAATTATATCTTATACCTTTAAACGAGCAATTCTTGTATATTAATATATATATGTATATAATCTGATTCTCGGAAACGGCTCCAACGATTTTCATAAAATTTAGTTTAAAGGGGATTTCGGGGGCGATAAATCATTCTAGCTACGATTTATTTTCAGAAAATGTTGTCTTATTCGTGTTTTCAATAATCAACTCTTCCCGACTTCTATTGGCGAATAATAATACTATTTTTCTTAATTAAGGCAACTAACCGCTTTAAAGACACAATAAGATGGCGTTATCAAAAAAAAAATCGTCTACTTTAATATAACCAAGGTAATGTCACATTCAATAAAAGTACACCCAACATTGCTTTATTTAATGTACTCTTACATTAATTTCCTTGTGACTACTGGTTGTACTGGAACCTATTAGCTAATGGTATCAGAACGTGTAGTGAGAGCGCATTGGTGTGCACCACTGCGTATTTTTACTGAGAAGCTATTTTTTCCTACTTAATCGCTGGTAGCCTTTTTTGCTTAGTTGGGTGGACGAGCTCACGGCCCATCTGGTGTTAAGTGGTTACCGGGGCACATCTACAACGTAAATGTCGCCATCCACCTTGAGACATGACTCATTACTGCTTCACGGCAGAAATAGGCAGGGTGGTAGTACCTACCCGTGCGGACTCACAAGAGGTCCTACCGCCAGTAAAAGCCTCGGGGGGGGCTATTCCAGCTACGCGCGTATCTGGTAGGCGAGCTCACGGGGCTCAACCTGAGAAGCTGAGAAGCAATCGGACTTTATTGAATCGGATCCGAGATTCCATTGAATAATCTCATGTTTCAATGGAAACGTTGTGGATTCTAGGAATCGATCAAGTTCGTTCGACTTATCTACGCAATACAATCTTAAAAATTCATAGAAAGGTTTATTACTAAGAAAAAATAGTATGTGACTAATAATTAAAGGGCAATCACTCTTCTCCATAGTGCCATAAAATTTATGCAGCGCGCGCGTTCTCTATGCCTCTCGTTAGAATGCAGTTGGATAAGTTCACTAATTTACCGTTTAGTTACTTGAAAACAGAACCTTAACGTTCACTGCATAGTAATCAAATCGTAAAACATGATGGTATCAATTAAAAAGTACACTTTGTTTAGTAGTATCACGGACTAATTATTTTCCGAGTGCTGATCAAAAGTCGGAGTTCCGAACATCAGGATATACGGGCTGTGTTGTTTTAAAAAATTTGCAACCAGAAAACCCACACTTTGTATTTACTTTAAATATAACCTTTGTTTGATTCTATTAGTTTGCTTATGTATCGCGTAATGCTTACACAAACTCTGATAAATGTAGGTAATTTACGACTTTAAAACTCTTTATTAAAACATTTTGATTCGCATTGATCAACCCTAACCATATTTAAAATTTGAAGTATTAAAAAGAAATTGTAATCTATCTATCTATCTATAATATATATAAAAATGAATTGCTGTTCGTTAGTCTCACTAAAACTCGAGAACTGCTGGACCGATTTAACTAATTTTGGTCTTGAATTATTTGTGGAAGTCCAGAGAAGGTTTAAAAGGTAGATAAATATGAAAATGCTCGGAATTAAATAAAAATAACAATTTTGTTTTTCCTTTGATGCGTCCCCCGTCGGACGGATTATTTTTGTTTGTGTTAAGTTTATTTTATACAAAAGTTTAGGTCTTTTATTTATTGATTGAGGCACTACGAAGTCTGCCGGGTCAGCTAGTTTATTTAATAAATGAAATTTCTATCGTGGTTTTCTATAGCCATTTATAAAGTACAAGCGGCCCGCTCCGGCTCCGCTCGGGTCTTTAACAAAAATTTCAACGATATTTGACGTTGTTTTATTTTTTTAAATAAAAGAACACTTATTGCGGCATAACAATAATAGGCAGACATATGCTGTTGCACCACTTTTTGTAAATAAAAATGTGTTCTACAAAGTCGTAGTACATTATTTTATTCTATCATCAATAGTTTTCGCAGGGCAGGCGATGTAAAGAATATTTTAGGTAATTTTTTTACACCTTGGGTTACATTATTGGAGTTTTAGTAAGGATCCCTATTTTTTTTCAAAAAGATTATAGCCTATGTCACTCAGGAATAGTGTAGCTTCCAAACAGTGAAAGAATTTTTCAAATCGGTTCAGTAGTTTCGGGGCCTATTCAATACAAACATACAAACAAATCTTTCCTCTTTATAATATTAGTATAGATATTGACTCTATGCTAGGTAAAATAAGTATGTATATACGAGTATACCAATTTCTAGGATCCCATTCTGTCTAGAAACATTAAAGCAAGTTCTGCTTTAATAATACATATTTGATCTTATAGAGACAACGTATGAAAATTTTAAATTTACAGAATAAAATTAACCATTACATTTGTTCCTCCCGTAAGATTACGTCAAACTTTGTACATAAATTCAAGAAATTTTATTGGAATACATACGTCAAATTGAAAATAAAAACAAATGTAATTTTCATGCTATGCATCATCGTTAGATCTGTGAGAGCGAGCATAAGGCATTCGAATAAAATCGTTCGAATTTAAAATACTTGCCTTTGAATTCGGCGTGACGGAATAATTCAGATATTCCTCTATGGATTAGTTCGCCACGGTTGTCGGACCACTTAGGATAATATTTGTTTTCGGATTTGCCATGAATACACTGTGACTAACTTTTACCTTGAATACGAACGGCTTTATTTCATTATTCAGTATTAAGTTAACATATTCTTTGCACGGTTCAAACCTTTTAGATTTGATTTAGGTTTCGTAACGCATAGCGAAGGATGACTTGATCTTTTATTTATTTATTTTTTATTGCTTAGATGGGTGGACGAGCTCACAGCCCACCTGGTGTTAAGTGGTTACTGGAGCCCATAGACATCTACAACGTAAATGCGCCACCCACCTTTAGATATAAGTTCTAAGGTCCCAAGTATAGTTACAGTATAGTTACAGTAGTAGTGATCTATAACACCAGTAATCTGACAATGTGATTAACTTACATTAAAGCACATCAGTGAGCGATTCTATCAGTAATGTTGTTGACAGTTTCGTAAATAAGTAACAATTTTATGTATTTCTAAGCTAAGATTTAAAAACCAGGAAACAATTGTAGCGATTTGCATATGACCGGAACGTAACTAGACAGCGAATCAGTTTACATGTTTTGTATCTCAGAATAGCAGTGCACGTTCAAAATAAATTCGAAACTAACAAAGAGTTTACGCCAGACAATGGCTGTGTTTGCCCATCGGAACGCTATGATATAGTCCACATGTTAGTCCGGTCGATGCGATTCGCGCTACACATTCTACGCCTTTCAATAAAATCCGCTTTCTATAGAACTTACAATTATTACCTACCACGATTCCGGTATTTTATTTCTATCGTTATCTATACTAATATTATAAAGCTGAAGAATTTGTTTGTTTGAACGCGCTAATCTCAGGAACTACTGGTCCGATTTGAAAAATTATTTCAGTTTTAGATAACCCATTTATTGAGGAAGGCTATAGGCTATAAAATATAACATCGCGGTAAGACCAATACAAGTGGAGCACCAATAAAGAATGTTTCAAATTAGGGGTTTAAGTAGCTCCTTCATATTCTATAATTCAAAAATATTTTCACTTTCTACGTAAATGAAGTGGGGGGTAAAATTTAGCGTTATGTCAAAGTAACTATTTCACGCGGACGGAGTCGCGGGCAAAAGCTAATAACCTATATGTGTGTAATATGTCTATACCAGTATTTAATAAAGGTTTTAAACATCTATTTTACGTTAAACACAACACAGGAAGGTTAAAAGTGAGGCCGTTTACAAGATCTTATTCGTTTCACGTACAAAAATGTTCCACTAAAAAAACCAACGTACGCCCGTATTTTTTGTCTCGGGTATATAACAATAATTGTCAATTTTATTGGAAAACAGATTGCTTGTGCATGCGGGAAACTGTATTATTTAAAAAGTAAGAAAGATATACATTGAAATTGCAAATTATAATATGATCAATGCGATTTTGTATATTACTGTTTTTATTAATTAGATTAGACACAGAAGATTCATCGGATGTTTAGCTGCTATCGGAGTCCATAGACAGGACAGTGAAAGGTGGACCTTGAAATTAGATTATGGAAGCCTCAATCGAATCGGTAGAATATACTGTTAAATAAACCATTGGATTCAATCACGATACATCGATCTTGACATTTACTAAAATTACACCATGCTTATGGATGGGCACACAGTACCTTTGTAATTTTCGATTGGAATAGCTTTTGTGGTTTCATTGTATTCATATTAATGATAGTGAGTACTACGGCCAAACTTACGATAATGGTTCAGGGACTTTAACGTATCATGTTCATAGTACGAATGGTTGTGATTCTACAGAATAGGAATAAAATTATGTTCTTTGATAGAATATGTGATTTAAATCCATATCCATATATAAAAATAAATAAGATATCCAGTGTACCTATGTCCGTTTATATCAAACGACGCGACTATGTTTCGGCGTTCAAATCCTGTAGGAAAATTATCAAATTTTCGATATAGGAAAAAAAAGAAAAAGCTGTTACATTATGAATTGTCATCAGTATTCGTCCAGGATTTACGTTAAAAGTAAAAAAAAATCCATCCTCGCAAACTCTCGCATTTAAAATATTGTACGTAATATTGGTAGAATTTTATTATTTTTAGAACAAAGTTTTAAATTGACACTATAAAATTAAAAAACGATATAAAATTAAAATCATACCAAATTTCATAGTGTGTGTGTCCTAATAATTAATTTAATAGTTGTGACTTCATTCTAAACAACGAGTTGTTTATGTTGTCGATCATCTAGAATTAGCGTTTTGAGTGTCCAGAAAGCATTAGCGTAGCATTTCTAGGTATACTTATTAAACTACAAACAATTAAATTGATGGATCTGTTATTTATGTTAGTGTATTTTTTCGTGGAGTTTCGACGTAGAGATGTTTAAATGAGTCTGAAATCTTATTCAAGCGATTATCTATATATTAATACGTGAAGCAAAAACTTTGTATCCCTTTTTACGAAAATTGCGCGGACGAAGGAGTATGAAATTTCCCACACTTATAGAGAAAATAGAGAAGGAGTGCAGAATGTTAATATTTTTTTTAAATCATGCATAAAAAACACATTAAATCAATAAAAAAAACATACACACACTACCATGTATTTGACACACACGCGCATGCATAATAATTGTATGTTTTCAAACACTTCTTATTGCTTATATTCTGCGGTTAAATTTTCAAATAATTATAGTCGAATGTCGACTACCGGGGGACCACTAGTTTAGATAAAATGTCAATAATGTGAAAGCATCTGGTATTAATAAGAAATATCCACATTAAGTTAAAAATAATAAATAAATTATGTATAATTACGCGTCATAATTATAACCGTATATTTTTAGGATTCGCTTTGTAGATTAGTGTATCCGCTGTTTCTCAATAATACCATCATGATTTAATGTTACACCCGAACGCTACCGCTCTCGGGTGCTTCGGTCTAATGGTCGGTCACGCCTCTTGTTCGCGTTACGTGTTTTTTCTTTCAACCTGCCATTACTTTAGTACACAGATTGTTATTTACTGTTTATTTTGATATCAATTCATACCGATATCTCTTAAGAGCAATCTATTAAAATACGTTTATATTTGCATAAAATTGAAATTAGGATAATGTTCAAGGATGTCATGTTGTTGTTGGTAGGGCTCTTTGTAAATTTGCTCGGGTGTAGCCTGCTTATTTATACCGGGAAGCAAACACGCTTCCTAGTCTTAGCTGCTACTTCAATGCTACCTTGCAACCAAGCAACGCGATGATCATTTTTCGGTGTCTATGCAATCCTTACACAGTTTAGCAGCAAGTGAACTGTAAGCTATAAACATGATCATAATCCATTCGAGAAAATTCTACGACATGTAAAACTTTATTGACCTTTTAAATACTTTTTCATACTCGTTCACAGCATATTTTGTACCCCATAAACTTTGACTTAATCATTATGTAGTAACACTAAAATTGTTTGATTCATCGAAATTTATGAATGAATCGTCAATATTGCGTAGGTGGATGGCGTGTGTGACAGTCAAACACTCGCGACCCGTCTGCCTTGGAAAGTGATGCAATTTAACGTCTTCCTTAAAAGAAACATTTAACGAATGATTGATAGGCCGTGGTGCACTAAGTAGTTTGTCGTATCATCGCATATAAATCATACGACGAATCATGTTAATGCAATAGAAATTCTTTTAATTTCACTATCATCACGTATCACACAAATTGCCCATCAAAATACCGGTTTCATTATTGTGTGAGTTATCGTAGAAATGTCTTTAATATAACCACTGTACGAGAACTTATGAATTATAAACGAATTCATCTGAATTTCAATTGAAAACCTCATGTACGGACTAAACCTCATAAATTTTTAAACGATCGTGTATGCATTATTTTAAATTGAATACCTACGCAAGCGTACAGGGTAACCTGGATCGTGACTTTAGAATTCTTCTTCGACATTAAGAAGTCTTCGGTACGCAAACATTTAAATATTTTTACAGAACCAAAGAACGCACGTATAAAAGCAGATTATAAGCATGTAGATGTAATCGTTACGACACATCCGTTACTTGACCAACTGAGCAGTAAAAAGCCTTCCGTTCCGCACACGATATTTCAATTTGTAAACGTGGGTACTCTTAAGATCAGAGGTGCACCGGTTTTTGTCTACCTTGTGCCTAATTTGATTCGGCTCAAAAGAAATCACTTTTCTCCTCACTTTCAAATAGAATGTAGAAAGTATATTCCATATCGACTGGAGGAATGTGGCTCTATCCATGGCTAAAATCACTTAAAACAAACAAGGGAACAATGAGGAATCTCGTTGAGATCATGATCAACTTGAAAAAATATTTGATTGATCGTTATTAACGGATCTAAAATCTCTCAACCGCTTTATTAATCATATCATTTTCTGTTGGGACTTGGCAATGTGGTTTATTGCTACTAATCTTATACGCATTTATAGCCCTAAGTGTACCACGTAAAAGAAGTTCTATTTTCACACTTCACTTGAGTCGGATTCGATTCGTAGTTCTTATTTCTAAACAAAAACCATTCTCCCAAAAATTTCTACTTAACAAATGGTTTTTGCTGCATACATTTCGTTCGTACCAGTCTTTTTCTGATTCTCGCACTGCCGACTTTCATCGTTACTATCAGATTTTCACTTGATTACATTTTGGATTGTTTATTTATGATGTCTCCATTAATTTATAATATTAGAAATAACCAAACGCCTGTTTATACTACTTGTTAAAATTGTTTTAGCAATACCGAAATTGTCGTATTCACACCTCTCAAAATTATGATCAAAAACTGTTTATTTATGTGAACATAGTGTGAATCGTTCAAACGTACGTATCATGTAATTATATCGGTGGTCGATAATTCTTTTCAAAGGACATGCCCGCATGCATTAAATTGAAAGGAACCATATTAGGCATCCGCATATTAGGTGAAGTGGGCGAACTAACTTCGTTGTAAGTCAGCAGCGTCATCGATGAGCAACTAACTGAATTCATTATATTTTTATCGTACACAACTTTGGCCAACCTAATTGTTTTGCCCGTTAGATAACTTAGTTTTTAATGACCACGATTTTCATTAGTCTACATTTTTAGCGCTGGTAAGGTTACCGTAAGCATTTTATAGAGTTCTTGTAGAGTAAGAGTCTTGAAATCATAGTTGTTATAATTACTTATATAATTATATTATTTGGTTATTAACTTTTTTGGTTTGAAACCATTTAAGTTAATAGTGTTTACACGGTGAAATGATATACCGGTGGAAATATTTCTAAAGTTTGTAATATCTGTGTCTCAGTTCATGGCTGGTGGTAGCATGAAAGCAATGAATTTGCAATGCATAGTTGGTGATTACTTTTATTTATTTAACCGCTTGCACAAGAAACGTTAAGTGATTTCGGATTTTACAAAGGATATTCGTTTTCGCTTCAAATAGCATATAGCGTGAGAAAAAAATGTGGGATATCGCTTCTGGCGAAGATCGCACTGTGCTCAACCGATAACTTTCCAACGAAGGCATGTTTGCGAGGTCAACTCCGGTCATTTGATGTCAATCACATGTAATTTAATCATCACAGCAGAATACACATATTGGTCAACTTTTACACACCAGATGATTGACTACTGTACCAACGTATTAACGCAATCTGGACATAATTTACCTTCGAAGGGTTTTCTTTAATTGTTGTTAAGCGCTAGTCTGTATTATAAATTGGAATGTTCGAACATATGTTCATTTGCCTTATTAAATACCTTATAGCATTCGTAAATCGTATCTCTCATATTATATTTATCTAATGAAGGCATTAAGTAAGCAGCACATTCATCGCCACAAACACGCATATAGTCTAACCAGTTCCACTGAGCCTGTTCGACCACTGACGCATTGCAACGATGCATTTGCAATCTAACGGGTTCGTTGTCTTTTATAGAAATTTTATATAAGTTACACCGGATATACCGCTGCAAGTTTTAACAATGTTACTCTGCTGCTTGTTGTCTGCCACTTTATCAATTACAGCAGTCCAGGGATGTAATCGAGGAACCCTAGATTTATTTCACAATAGATAAAGGTATAAGGTATGTGACTAGTTTAAATGGAACTTTAGTTATTGCGTGATACGATTTGCCGATAGTAGCTGGAATAGCCCCTCAGGCTACCAGCGGTTAGTTGGGGAGAATAAAAATAGATTATAGCAAAACAGAGTCTTAATGTTAGACCAAATTATCGGCATTTAAATTGAGATGTCTCAAATATTTGACCTTAATCTTTAGTCCATATTCATGACAATAATTCATTTAAAATATTCTTCATTTAAATTTATTACAAAAAAAATATATCTCTGATTCCATTCCTGTAAAGTTACATCCCGTTTCTGGCTAATACTTATCACGGGCCCACGTTCAGAATCCATGATGACGTCATCCCAGTCGACCTTGTACAGGGTTTGACATTACACATGAGATGATGGTCCTTCCAATGTTTACACTCACATCTGTTTTTCGTATGTATAAAGATCATACGGGCCACTCTCAAAACATTAAAGTTTCAAAGCACTGACGTAAAATATTGAATCTGACATGATTATTTGTTTTTTTGTGTTTTGTTTATGACTAAAAGTGAGCAGCGAATAAAAACAAGAGAAATTGTGAATTATATCGATTTTTAAAACTACGGTTGGGTGAGCCGAAATCTGACTCCTGTGTAAAATATTTACTTTTTCATAAAATTTCCTATATCAATGGTAAATCCTTGTTACGTTGGCTACTGAACAGCAAAATCGTTTATAAGTATCACATTTCACAAACACAACAAAGACGATCGGTGTCGAATTGCGATGAACGTGATTCTCTTTTAAAATACCACTAACGTCTATTTAAATATTTTATTAATAATGATAATTTAAAACCCACCCGAAACGAAATATACTGTGTATCTAACACGAACCGGTCACAATCACTTCACTACTATGGCGATGTTGATCGCAGTATTGCCGCTTCACCGTCCGTACTGCGAGTGAGGAACTGATGACTGAGGCGTCGCTTGCGCAGTGTGGGAGGCGATCCTTCCCAGCGTTACGGCCAAACGCAATTACCAACCAGACCATTAATGCTGGATGTGCAATTAATTGCTCGCGCGAGGATGTCCGAGCACGTACTGATTGACTCATCGGCGAGAAAGCCAGACTAATTTGTTGGTTGTTTTAAATCTCCGAATTGTTATTAGTTGATTTGAAGTCGACGTACATGTGACAGAGAAAATCAAATCACCCAGACTGGTTACTACGCCACAATTCACTCTTAGGATACTTTTTGCAAGGTTCAAAACGAATGGTTTGAGAAAATATCAATTGGTTATATGTTTGTGAAATCGATATTTTCTTAACCTTATATGTAGATAACACAGTACAATTTACGTGAAATAATTGAACGTAGAATAGTTTTGTCGGCCATGTTTTGTTTTTCTTTGTGTGGAACCTTAAGTTTTTGCAGTGGGCGGAGCTGGTTTGCGATAATTTGTAGGCGGTGCTCCTTGCCACAGCTTACGTCACAAGGCTGCATTACTCATTTGTCTGATCTTAAAACTTTTTATAGTCCTGACCTGTAAACAATTACTTCAAATCAAGAGAATTATTATGTTATTTTGCTCATGTCGTAGTTGCATGTTATCAAAATTTCATATATAGTTTCCTTTTCTTGTTCAAATCATGCCCAACCTATATTATTATAATCTTTCAATTTACATATTTAGTACATATTATATAAAAAAATATGTTTCTGTGGTATGACGTAGATGAAAAGTATGCTTATAATCTGCTTTGAAACTTTGTACAGTTTACGGCGCTTAAGGGAGGTTTTTGTCGATCAACGTGCCCATAAATCTTCTACGTATGATAGGTGGCGTTTGAATTGAATCTTTTTTTTTTATTGCTTAGATGGGTGTACAAGCTCACAGCCCACCTGGTGTTAAGTTGTTACTGGAGCCCATAGACATCAAAAACGTAAATGCGCCACCCACCTTGAGATATAAGTTCTGAGGTCTCAAGTATAGTTACAACGGCTGCCCCACCCTTCAATCCGAAACGCATTACCGCTTCTCTGCAGAAATAGGCAGGGTGGTGGTACCCACCCGCGCGGACTCACAAGAGGTCCTACCACCAGTGCTAACCATCTGAACGGGTACATATTTTTGATCTATTTAGATATAGTCCAGAGTTACTGCATAGTAAGTCTCTCGGTTAACAAATAGTGGTCATACTGATCGTTGATTTGAAATACCTATACTATGTATGTCAATTTGCGTAATTACTGGTGGTAGGACCTCTTGAGTACTGGTGGTAGGACCTCTTGAGAACTGGTGGTAGGACCTCTTGAGAGTCCGCGCGGGTGGGTACCACCACCCTGCTTATTTCTAGCCAAGCAATAAAAAAAACATATTTTATTTATTTATTGGTTAGGTGAGTGGATGAGCTCACAGCCCACCTGGTGTTAAGTGGTTACTGGAGCCCATAGACGTCTACCACGTAAATGCGCCACCCACCTTGAGATATAAGTTCGGTCTCAGTATAGTTACAACGGCCACCCCACCCTTCAAACCGAAACGAATTACTGCTTCACAGCTGGTACCCACCCGCGCGGACTCGCGGTGGTGGGACCTCCACCACCAGTCCTACCATCTGAACGGGTACATATTTTTAATTTACTTAGATATAATCCAGAGTTACTCTCGCTTATCATACTAAATGGACAATGTAAATGCTGCCGTCCAAATTGGAACAATCGAACTAAATTGTTTTTCTAGAGTGAGTGTCTACATATCGGAACAACAACCTATGATTGTTTCACAGCAGAAATAGGAGAAAATGTGTAGGTGGAAAAGAAACTACATCAGGTTACTCGTATCTAGGACCAAACGAAGTTAACTATGAGTTTTACGAATAAATTTCAGGTGCACAACGTTGATGAAGTGTTGGAGAGGCACAATGACTTCCTCGAATCCTGCCTCGGGGACTGCATGCTCACTAATCCTCAACTGTTGAAGGCTGTCACCACGCTCTGTCTCGTTTGCGTCCAGTTCTGCAGTTTCATACAGGTAAAAATCCCTTGGTACAAATTCAGAAAAAAACATTAAATGTTGTCTTCTTAGTCGTTAGCTTCTTATAAATAAGGTTTACTTTTGCACTTTTATGGCTTAACCTTAAATAATTAAAGATTCTGAACATAACCTTAAATAATTATATATTGCAAGTTTTTATTCAAGTGAATTGTTATGGGAATAGTTTAGGTCATTGTCTAACAGGGAACAGGGAATTTACGATAAACTTTTGGTGTTACTAATGAGATGTTGGTTTCTATAAAAACTAATGCTTTAAATAATTATTATTAATATCTAAAAATAAATGTAATATTTACTCCCGTATAAGTATTTTGGCAGCATTATCTTTATTAAATTTCGGTATTGGATTGAGCATACATTAAATTTCCATTAAACAGATAAAAAGTTATAGGCAATGTTCTTTAAATTAAAATTATTGTTGTTTAATTGTTCGACCGCACAACTTTAGTAAACCTATAAATTTAAAATAATTCTGCTTATAGTGTGCCTCACCATTTCGTTACATTACGAAGACTACACAAATAAGGAATTGTAAAAAAAAACAGTATAAAAATAATTGTATGGCGAAATAATTCCACTTGTGCACTTTTGAATTTCTATGCACTCGACTAACAATGACTCCACTCATAATAAATATTAATATATATCAGGGTTGGGCAAATATTTTGATAGTCGGGCCACATTGCAGATGAAAATTTGACCTCGGGCCAAAAATTTTTTTTTTTCTAATTTTAAGTGTAGTTTTTGCTCAATCAAAATATTGAATCAAAATATTTGTTTATCAAGTCATTTGAATAAAAAAATTGAAAAGAATATTTATGGTAGACAAAAACTAATATTTGTGTTTTTAATATTAATATATACAATGCTTCACAGGCCGACAAAATTCTACCGCAGGCCGGCATTTGCCCAGGCCTGATATATATAATTAAGCTAGTTGTACCTTGTTGTTGTGGTTGATTTGTTTTTTTTAATACAAATTCTTAGCCGTTTATGTTTAACGTTAAATTTTGTGTTTTTATTTTCTTTTTAACGCTACCCAATACACGTTAATTGGCAAAAGGAGATGCACAAGTACTTCGTGGACGCAGAGCTAAACAGTATGCTTGGATCGACATATGACAATACAGAATATAGTGAGGTACAAAGTAGATATCAAACTAAAACATCAGTAACTTGCACCGAAATTCGTAAAATCACCAAAGTAAAAATCGCACAAAATTTAAACAGCTGCGCGTCTTAACCGCACCGACTTTATTCTAACCAATCAGGAAAGAGTATGTTGTTTTGACGTTCTTTAATGATTGGTTGAATTTTTATTGTCTTTCAAGAACAATTTAAAAATGGCCATTTTGATAATGCATCCATGTAGTATTTGTGACGAATGAAATTCATTAATGTCATTTTTGTTTTTTCATGACTTCTTTCTTTTAGAGCTTCATCGTAAGTATTATTTGTTTAAACGTATGTATTTTAAATTCGTTTTGTTTGTGTTTGTTTGTATATAGTATATTCATATCATTCAATAATTAAACATTCCTTTAATGTATCTATCAACATAATTTAAACGTAGGTATCAATTGGATATATGTATATAGTATGTAGTTAAAATAGGTATGGGTTAGATTCTTGAAATTGTTCATAAAAATAATTATAACATTAAGACTGATTTATCGCTCAAGTTTTGATTTTTACCTTTTTTGTATTAAGCCGTCCTTTAATGGATGAATGAATGCCGTATGAATTTAAAACAAAAAAAAAGAATAATAATTCAAACGTTCCCGCCAAAATGTTACAAACTGTCATCTGACCTTTGTCAATGTAATGAGCATGCCGCAAAAAGTTTGAGTTTCTTTAGCGATTATTTCGTAAATCACTGTTTCATTCTCCAGTCGTGTATCTATGATATTGATTTACTAACTATCCGATAGACAGTCAGTCAGGCGGATGGGCTTACGTACCACGTGGAGTCGATGATCATGTACCATCGGCTACCATCCAAAACTTTAATGTTAACGCATGACTGTTTCGCGGCCAACAAAGACCGAAAACTGTTAAACTCGTGTATTATATAATTAATAAATAGCCGGGTAAAAAGTCTGTCGTTTCAAAGATTTAACCAAATCAAAATACATAAACCACTTGATTTCGTGTATGATATATTGATGTTAAAATATTTAATTCGCAACAGATTATACGGTCGACGCTTATTTAACGATACCTCAAACGACCTCAAAGCGTAGAAGATCTCAAAATTTATGAATGTTAAAAAAAAGTGAATAAATTGTTTTTAGAAATTACTAGATGTATTAATAATGAATACACACAAAAATATTGTACACGTTCTATTTTCTGGGGATAAATTATTGCTCGTGCGAATATATTGTCGTATTTATTAAAGTAGATAGATATGAGTCGACTATTATCAAAGCCGGCAATATGACTTTTGGACAATTATTGGTAAATCAGAAAAACGAATTATTGACTTTGTATTCCATTGGCAGTCACAAAACTCTTCTGAACGACATCTTAGATAAATAACAGGTTAAGTTAATACTTTATTTAATGCAGGTTTTGAACCGTATTCTTTGAAGGAGACGATTATATTTAAATCAATCTGTATTGACATATCAATAATTTTTTTTTGTCCAAATGCACAGATTGTCACCTTTGATAATAGACGACTCATATACAAGACGTTGAAAAGTTATCTTATCTGTTAATTCACGTTATAAACTATCTTTGTGTCATAATATGTACATCCAATTTTTTTTCGCCACTAATGTGTGATTCAGTAACAAACATTAACTTGAAAATATTAGTACGTATCGAGGGCTGAAAGGCGATTTTGTTTAAGCGTTATTTTGCTTAAATACTCGACATTTATCTTTGTAATTAAAGGTCCTTAATATTTGGTATTAGCATCAACAATTCGATGTTTTTTAATTTAACTTCAATCATGTTTACCCCATTCAAATAACTGAAGAAGCTTTTTTGTCATTTGATACTGTTTCCAAATTTTAAACTTTTTTTTATTGCTTGGATGGGTGGACGAGCTCACAGCCCTCCTGGTGTTAAGTGGTGACTGGAGCCCGTAGACATCCACAGCGTAAATGCGCCACCCACCTTGAGACATAAGTTCTAAAGTCTCAAGTATAGTTGCAACGGCTGCCCCACCCTTCAAACCGAAACGCATTACTGCTTCACCGCAGAAATAGGCGTGGTGGTACCTACCCGCGCGGACTCACAAGAGGTCCTACCTCTTGTAAAGTTGCAAAAATGTCGTTTAAGCCAAACCGTTTTTCACCCCTCGACTTATAGATTAAACTGTATTCAGCACGATATACAAATATTAACAAATAACACCCGAGTCGTCTGTTACTAACATAACTCTAAAGTATTCGTTTACTACGAATTTTGGAATATGATCATCATCTTGCATATGCCTCTTATTGTTGAACGTGACAGGAGGCAGGTTGCGGGACCACTACGAGCGGCTCGGCGGACTCATTCTCTCGTTCTGTGTCGCGGTACGGGCTTCGATTCACGGCGGCGTTGCTCTCCGTGCTCGCTATAATCGATCGTAATGCACGCGACAATAACACGAACAAACTCCTCAACATATCCGCCAGGTTGGTTCCGACAGTGACAATTGTTTTTTCATGATCTCTTTAATTATTCGTATTGATCGCTTGTGAAACAGATACACGAAAGTGATAGAAGCGATTAGTTCTTCAACGTTTTACCATCATACTACCCACCGATTCACGAAAAAATTCACTGCCACAACCCTACCCTCTGCAGGGTTTGCAAATATCCTTTCTTCGTAGCACATTCGTTTTCTGGTGTTTCTTGTGTGCTAGGTAGTCTAAATAATTCGACGAAGTCAAAGAAAGGAAAAGAGTCAGTTACGCAAACCTGTACAGGCTCTGACCAATTCTTGGTAAAGTGAGCCTTTGGCCAGGTCTGTTGATTGGCGCGCCATTGAAAACAGTTGGCTTTAATACATAAGATTAAGTTTCCAGCGTAAATAGAACTTATGGAATGGAATACTTAGAAGTAGATATATAAGAGTTAACCGATTAAGTGATTATTGCCAATCTATGTGAACTCAGATGTATATGATATAAAGACCATAAGTTTGCAGAGACTTGAGCTTGTAAGGTTTTGCCCGTTTCTGTTACAAAGCGGTCGTTGATTTTGAAGGGATTTTAATTGCTAACTTTTTTTTTTCAGATTGAATTTCAACACTTATTACGCGAAGCAACTCGAAAAGTTTTGCTCTGATGACAAACTTCTGGACTGTGAGAAGAAAACGCCGTCCTCCTAGCGCGGGCTTGCGCGTAAGCGCGCCAACCTTGTCACGTCAGTGTGAAACTCAAATTCTCGTACTAAAACTACATACATATTACTCAAGCGTACCACAATGGTGCTAAAAATACTAAACATTTTGCATTACAATGGAGTATTCTACATAACATTAAGGTATTGTTCAACACAATTGATATTTAAAGATATGAGAGTCGGTTTAGAATAGAAATTCGTTGCGTCAATCACTTCGTTGAACTCTGATTAATGAAATTATTAATGTCACTATCGGATAGTATTTAAATACTAGCATAGTATGCTATAGATACGTCACAAGTTAATATTAGTAATGTCAAGTACAAAATAACAAGTTTGAAACTAGTATTAATAGTAATAGTGCACCGAACTAAATTAGTTGTAGTTGAATAAATGAATCGCGATCGAGATGTTAGTTTTACATAGCGGATTTTTTTAAATATCTAGACAAAATCAATGGTTTTAAAATAGTTTAGTACAAGACAGTCGGTAGTTTTAGTGTAATAATTCTGCAATGCCGGATTTGGGCGGGTCCAATCTCACTTAACAGAATATCAGTAAAAATACAAAAGTGAATTTTTATTGTTTTTTTTTTTAATAATTTTATAGTAGCTTTACGTTGAATAATCGTTCGACTAAAATCGAATTTTGAGAATGCATTAGACTTTCTCAATTAATTCAATAGGTTTGCCATTTAAATATTGATGTTAAATTCAACAATGGAGAGTCCTATATAACTCAAGTATCTAGTTTTAAATTGAAACGTAACGATGAGTCTCTCGTTCCTTGCCATAAAATAGTTGAAGCTTAGCCATGACTTTCGTTAGTAAATAAGATTATTGGTAAAAATATATTGTGTGTACTGTGAACAAATTTCTCTGATATTATCTTCGAATGTTAACATTAAGGCTCCCCGCGCACTAGGCAGCCAGGCTGCGGCAACCGAAATATTTGAGCAGCCAGTTATAGCAGCCAATCGACGCCAATTTATGATCTTTTCGTCGAGCGATATGGACTTTATCTCGTAAAAAATGCAAAGCAAAGAAAAGACACTGGATTCATCCTCTTTTACTAGAAAGGCATTCAAAAGGCTTATTCTATAACTATTTTATGGGTGTTCATACATACCCAGCATTGGTCACCGTTCTCGTCGAACCCGTCGCTTGCGACGAAGGGCTCGACTAGTAAATTAAGAGATAAATACAAGAGATTGTACAAGCATGCTGTGTCATATAACTAACATTTGGCAAAACGAATATGCATTGGCTGCTACAGCAAGTGCGCGGGGACTGATAGCAGCCACATACATTCGCCGACATTCGCTCTGGCTGCCGTGCAACAGGCGCGTTGTAATGGCTGCCTTGAGCGCGGGGAGTCTTATTGAACTATACAGCTGTAAGTCGATTTATGTACTCGCTTATTTGAGTTTGTCTCGTGTTCTGTATAATACCGTAGATACTGCGAATTCCATGACAAATGATATTCATTCCAAGTAGATAGTAAAGGTTTGTTAGCTCGGGCTGTGGAATGTTTGTGTAATGTTTTAAATTATGATGTTTTCGGGTGTATTAGAACGTGTTTACTGTGTTACATAATAATTAGGTATATTGGTTAGTGAATTTGGCGAAAGCAACGTATGATGTATACATGGCCTAACCATTATTAAAATTCAAACTTCCGATATAAAGTTACTAAGGTACTGTGCTATAGTTGACATAATTTTTTTCATGCCGTTGCATTTGTCATGTAACACAATTTGATAATAAAAAATAAATAAAACAACCATTACATACTACAAGTATTTTTGTCATTTTATACTTCATAATATTGTTATGTCTTTTTCGAATATGTTGTATTTACGTTTTTCCGGTAAATTCGTAAATAAATATGATCTGTGCGTTCTTTACAGTTATTCTGTGTGCTTAGTGCGAGTTTTTTAACGTTGTCGATAGCGTAAAAGTTAACCCAATTTTGTATGCAATTAGAACAGCGCCGCTAGCGGCAAACGTAGGCAAACGATCCCATTCCGTACAAATATGAGCTAACTTTTACGCTATCGAGATCGTTAAAAAACTCGCACTAAGCACACTGATGTGATTTTGTGTGGCGCATTGAGTGTTCGAGAATGATAAGTTTGATCCAGTATTCGATGCGTTATTTTCTCTAAATAATTTGACAGATAATTTATGGTCACTGGAATACGTCCGATGAGAGATGCGAATTAAAATCGCCTATAATCGAAATTTATTTGTCATTTGATTGAATCAACAAATTATGCCTTTCCTTTTCCCTACCTATTTGCTGGTAGCCTAAGAGGCTATTCGAGTTTCTCGCGGCGGGGAATTATGCCATACGTAACGTAACGTATCAACACCATTTCTTAATTATCGACAATTAAAATGTCACTTTACCCACTATGTACCATTCGTGGTCCTCTGAAAATCGATTTAATAAATTTATCATTACATAAAAAAATATTATTCAAAATTGTTTTCATTATAAATCGCACGCCTACACTCGCTGCCTACGTCATATATCATTAATGAAAAAAGAAGTTGTGGTAACTTTGTCATTATAAATTCTGACTACAAACTAACCTACACCGTACCATTTGCACTATACTGTCTTATAAATATTTTTGGTAATCAAAATCTGGTGATGTATTCTTATTTAATATAAATTATTTGAACTGTGAAATATTAAAAGTTTTATCTCAGAAATGTGTTGATTGTTTTGTCGAAAAATGCCAATAACCGTGTGCCATTGTTTGTTACATTGTTATACGAGATTAATTTGAATGTACTTCAATTTTAACTTCCATGATTGTTTTACCAATATTATGAACTTTGTTGAGGTTTCTATGTTGATTTAGTAATACCAAACTGCTTCAGTTGTTCTGCCTTTTCTCTAAGTTCGTTAATGTCATTTGACGTTAAACACATGACAATTTAAATCTCGATCTGTGTAAATATTATCATTAATATTTTTAAATAAAATATACATACTACGCCCGTCTTTTTTTTTCTATCAAACATTACCGTACCCGTCTATACGATTAATTTTAAATATATTTATCACGAATTTATAGTCCGAACTCTACACAGAAGTGCCAAGAGAAACTACAGTTCTTCAACAATCTAAAAAGAAACAAGCACTTTTTATTAAGGATATGTCCAGTTGATGCAGCTGTTACTCATTGTCCTTTCTGCATGGTCTAGATTAGGAGTACGATAATAATATTAAAAGTAAGAGATGGAAATGCTACAAGGTGATAAACTTATTCAGAGCTCGCGGTAATAAGAATATAATTAGAAAATAATACGAAAGTGTAGACAAACATATAAACACTTTGTTTATTTAATCTAATAATAAGTAATCTCAGCTCTCGACTCACACGGAACTCTAGAGTAATTTGAAAGGCATCACAATATTTTTGTTTTGTTACTTTTTTTTCCGTTTATATACATACGCATTTTTTTAACTTATCTTCTGGGTTTTAAACCTGAAACGAATTTTTCCAGAGGGGGTCAAAATATATTCTGCGGGTCAATGTGTGCGACGGTTAAAAATGATTGAATCATCTTTTCATCAACCAAGTTCCTTCGTAGTTCCTGATGACCCAAACGTGCAATGATATACGAATTACGTCCACATTAATCTGAACGACTCCTATAATGCGTCAAATTGATAGGTACCTCTCGTATTAGAGGCGGAGCAGTATTCTACATGAGCTAGGATATTTTATGCTACACTATATTTGAGTAGTAGGAGGAACAATCAATCTCTACTCCCTGGAATCACTGGGTTAATAATCAGAGCGTTTTCAGAGATCATTTTTTGGCATGTGCCATCGGGCTTTGTACTAACATCTCCTCCAATGTTACCTGAATACTATGATATCCCTCCTTGAGAAATTTGAAGAAAGTCCTCTGTGGTAGACAATGGCTTTGTTTATAACGTTGATAATACGGAGGCCGGCCTGCGATCAGCACTGATCCACTTACTATCAAGTGTTTTTTTTTCCTACCTAAGCTGAGAGCCTTGAGAGGCTATTTCAGCGTAACATTAACTAGTAGGTGAGCTCACGGGGCTCAAACCTGATGACCTTGCTAACACGAACCCCAGCAAGGGCCGTGCTGCGCAGAATCACCACCGGATCGGAAATGCGACCCACTGAGAAGCGTTTCCGATCCGGTGGTAGATTGTATTGTCTACTATTTCTGCTCTTGCGGTAGTATCTGCGGTAGAATAGCTTTGAATAAAAAACGTAGGTGTTAAATGAAAATACCTTTAGAATGAACCTAATTTAATATTTTAACAGACTTTAAAATAATTACTGTTCGTAAAATTCGATTCGTTCAACACATAAAGCGGATCACGACTACGAACCACCACAACAATAAATAAAGGTTCGACATTGAAACGCTCTATACTAAAATGGACATGACACAATATGATGACTCGAAAATGAATGAATTAATGACTGATACGAAAAATTAAATAAACGTAGTACAAGGAACTACTCCGTTATTACTAAACCGCATTTCATTGTTAATACATTTTGGTAGTCATTCAGTGCTGTTTGACCTTTCTACCCTGTTAACAAACAGATTAATAAGAGTCCACATCGGACTTTCACTACATTTTTATAACATAATCAAAAACGGTACGAGACACGTACAGACAATAAAAATAATATCACCGTTTAAGGAAACTACAGATTTACATTTTTATATGTGAGTATAGTTCATTTTATCTATATAACGTGCATAAGCAATGAAATGGTAACTGACGATAGGAATACAGTGCGTTCGTGCAACATTCAATAATAACAATACACGCGATATAACATCAGACTACCCTAGAGGGTTTCCAAAACCAATGTTACGACAAACAAGTCAACCGAAGCACGTTTACATAATACAAACACAAATTCTACGCATACTTATTGCGAGTTTTTTAATTTCTCTACGTTTACCGCTAGGGGCGCTGTTCCATACAAATAAGATTTTTTTATTGCTTAGATGGGTGGACGAGCCCACCTGGTGTTAAGTGGTTACTGGAGCCCATGGACATCTAGAACGCAAATGAGCCACCCTTCTGAGTTAACTTTTACATGATCGAGAAGTTAAAAAACTCGCACTAAGCACACAGACATACGGGTGCTCTTCTTATCAAGAAATAAATCGTGTCACACCGGCAATTAAAAATTGACATGCATTTGCTTAATTAATTTCTGCTCGGACTCATTTCATTTTTTTTTTGGTTCTCGACATATTTGTCATGTATTTGTAACGTTGAAGAGAGCTGCAGAACCTCAGAGCAAATGTATGTCTCATGTAAAAAAAAGGCTAATATACACATATCCAATGTGATTTTAAACTAAACAGTATATGTACAGAGCTGTCCGCTCATTTCACTATTTCACAGACTAGAGTCTCGTTCGTCTGAGGACCATCACCACATGTGCGTCTCGCGGATCTCGCTTATGATTTGACCGGCACGTTGTAAAGCCTGTAACAATAAAGAATCTGGTTATTGTAATCTTGACAAAACTATTAATGTTTATCTCCTATTATATTATTTGTCACAAATATTATTTCATTCGAGTTGATGAGGAAATGTTTTGATGATTTGTATATCGTCGCTGTCAAACCAAAATCTGCTATGTGGAAAAACTCTTTTTTGAATTAACGAGTAAAAACATTTTCGTGTAAAATTTTACAACGATATAAGACGACATTCCAATTATTATGATTATTTTAAGCCGACCTAAAACACTGTATATGACTAACTAATTTTGATGATTTATTTATTTATTATAAAGCTGAAGCTTCTCACATTCCCATTTAAGATTTATGAAGATCTGAGTATTGTTTGAATTATTATGAGTAATCGGCATATTTAATTAACATAGACCTCACTGATGATAGTCTCATTTTATTTTGTTCAAGCCAGAGTGCTTCGTTAATATTTTGTACTATTATAGAATAACTGTTGATATTGTTTTTCTATAGCATTATATTGATTTTACGAACTGATATTGCTACGACATTTTTGTTACGCATCGTACCACAATGCGCCTTCTTTCATTCATTTCTAACGTTCTCCCTAATTTTATACTCGATGTGTGGAAAATTGAACAATAATAACTCCCGTTTCGTCACGATCTAAACATATATTCATACTGCACGTATACAATTTATCACAACCATTTCAATACCTCTTGAGTTTTTTTTCTAGTTTTTTGGCCTGGCAACGAGAGCTTTAAGCCGTGTTAAGTTACCCTATAAAACGTATATTATAAAAAAATCAGTACGGTAAAGCCCGTAGTCTAATGAGAACACGAACGACGTCCCAGAATTAATACACAATAATCACGTAACGCGATATCGCATTACTAACGAGACATAACACAAGTATGGAGGGTAGACGTAAGGAGAACCGTCTCTGTGTGTAAAAAGTATCCGTTAAAATCTGCTAAATGAGGGTGGCGCTACAGTAGGCAGCGGGTAAATTAAAAAAAAGCGCTGAAAGTTATTAGAATAAGATAGAGAAATAAAAAAAGAGGAAAGAGCTGTAAGCACTACAAAATCACAAAAAGTATTTTATTTAAAGCTGATAAGAAAATGCAGTCGATGTCTCCACGTTTTACCACATCAATAATTTTAGACAATATTGACCAAATTAGTTTGGGACTACGTAAACATGTGAGGTCTTGTATATTACACTGTCACTAACTACTCTAGTCATTAAATATATTAAATTTCCAAACTCAGCATACTTCAATCAGTCAACAACACTGCTCAATTCGTATCCATACCCTGTGCCTATGCTAGCGCCATTCTGGAGGATTTTTGAACTGTTATTTAGTGCTGAAAGTGGGACACTTCAAGCTCCCTCCCATATGAGACGGTTCTCCTTACCTCTAACCTCCATAAACACAAGTGAAATGACATAAGATTGTCGATGGTTTCACCTTTAGCATGTCGGCGGCCTCCTTCCTCCGCTGTGCGATGTGCTCAGACTCGTTGAGCATGCTCTCGGCCTGGTCAGACTTGTACAGGTGAGTGACGAGCTCGGACTGCAGATTGTCCTTCACAAAATTCACTAAGAAATGCATAACAGCCTTTGGTACAGAGTCCTGAATGGATTTCCGGACGATGTAGAAATAAGACTTGATCAGTCTCTCTGAAAAAGAAAAAAAAAGTTTTTTGTTTATTATTATTATTATATACAGTAAAGTCGGAAATATTATAATATATTTTTGCATTATGTTACACATTGTGTTAGGCATTGTACAACATCGCAACCAAATGTAATAATGGATTAATGAGAAATATAATCCTTCATAGAATACATGTACTTAAAATAGTACCACTTTTTAAACAGTGTATGAACGCGGTCTTATAATAATCGAGTTAGTAAATCGAGTGCAACCGATGAAAGAGGTGATTTATTGGTGACTTGTAAGCACATTTTTAGCTAGACAACAACTCCGGATTTAATTATCCAACAGCATTGTGTAAATTTTCCTCCAGTTTTCGAGAAAACAAATTATAATTTAAACTACTTTTTCGGTTTGAGCTCGCGTTAATTATCTCCGACATTTTGAATATTTTGATAGTTTTTGTCGTCACACGAACTGAGGCGTTATTCGCGATATTTGAAACTTCGGGAAAAATCAAATCTAAATAATAAACGTGTGGTTAACCAACCGCAACAGTAGTTTTAATTAAGCATTGTTTAGTTGAGAATTTTATCTAAAGCTTCAATCTAGTTTGTTGTGGTGCATGTACAATAGTAGGATAGTTACTCTTGCGTTTATTAAAATTTCTGATGTACATATTATTAGCACCTTGTTTTTAATCATATTTGCTATTGTAAATACTATTATGTTCTAAAGTTCAAAAGAGGCTGTTGAACATTAAGCGGGTGAGCACAGAAACTGGATGAGTATTCAAATTATACGCCACTATTTTTTAATTACCAAAAGTAGTATTATATGCCTCCGATATTAAATAAAACTAAGATTATTTAGAAAGATAAATCGATATAAAAACCCACATAAGAAAAAAAAAAGTCAGGTAGACATAGATCAAATATTAACAAGGGCTATAAATTCAATCGCCGTTGCATTCATAAATCGCAGGGCTCCGAAACCCGGATTTTCATTGAAGATGTTTATCTCCGAGATTTTTGACAAGTTTTTTTTTTTCAGTTTTATAAATCATTGCTTTAAATTATTAAACTATTATACATAATCGAAAAGTGTTCTTTTTGCAATGGCTGTTTATTTAATTTTGGTAATTGAAGATTAGTGGTGCATAAATATGACTTTAGTGATACACAAAACGAAGCCTAAGGCGTTAGGAGTGACTGCAGATTCTTACCATAGAATTTACCAACTTAATAGAATGATCTATTTATTTTAACACTTGCTACAACTTTTCAACATGTAGATGTCTCTAAGGTCAATGTTTATGATCATTATTGGACATTCTAAATGTATAATATTTGGTTATAACGTAAACCAAATTTGAAAAACACAAAATACATTATTAATTTATGGTTATTTTTCCTTTAAACAACAATGTGATAATCACCATCTATATTAATACATTATCTCTGTTATTATAATATCATTTTTATAATACATAAACCATACTAGTATATGACATCAAGCAAAAACCATTAGACAACACAAGAAAATTAGAATAAATATATATCTTAGTTTGTATCACTCTTAGCTGAACATCATAGCATAGATAAAAAATTATATAGATAAAGTATTGTTTATGGCCATATTTTTTGAGTTTATTAGTATAGACATTGTCAAGGAGGCCACAAACACCCGCGTCCCGGGCGCCATTAAGCAGGCCGAATGTAGGAAACATTGGAGGAAGCTGGTGCAAAAACTGGACCAAGGTGGTCACGACCCTCAGTAATGAGGAAACGACAAAGAAGAAGAAGTATAATCTGTGGTCACTCCGACCGCTACTCAGATGATAGGTGGTCGGAAGGCTAGAGATAGCTATGAGTAAACAAAGCATAGATGCCGGTGTATCTACGGACTAGCCTCACCAACTAAATCACCCATTTGATTCAGTTGCATCACGTTGATGCCGTCTACTGTCTTTACGTTACTGTTTAAGACTGTTGTGTTGTCGCTCCGTCCACCTAGCATCACAACAAAATTGAATCTCTAATCTTATGGGATGAATATTAAGAAAACATAAGAGCATACGAGCCCACGGCCCAGCTGCAGGTTAAATCCATAGACAACAAGTATGCCACTGTTATTGAACCGAGATATGAGGTTGAAGTTTAAAGTTTTGATATAACGGCTATATCTATAACTCAAACCGGAATTATATGACAGATTCGATACTATGTTTCTGTTAGATAGTTAGTCTCATGAAAATACCTTGTTTAAAAAAATTGTTAATACGAAATTTATGGTACCAATACCAATGATTTAAATTAGATTCTATTTTAGTTATTAAACATTATAAAATCAATGAACAAATTTCACATAAAAAGTAAAATTATGAAAAAAAAATCTGTGGTTATACATTAAATTAAAATTAGATTTTATAATTAAAAAATGTTACTTAAAAATACTAGAGCAGCTGATATTAATATTGTACACTACACCCACCTATGACGTCACAGTCGTGTTGTTCACGTTCTGACAGTTTACGTGATGTTTGGATCGGTACTTCGGGCAGAAGGTTCACTGGCTTCTGAGGAGTCAGTGCCTTGTTATCTGGCATTCCGTTGAGCTTTAACAACAAACAAAAAAAATACTTTAGGATTTTATCCAATACAAAATTAAAATATTTTCCTTTCACAAACTAGTTGAATTAGACATTTCAATTCACAAAGTTTAACAGTTTATTACAGTTACCAAACTAGCCTTGACCTATTCAACATAATTGAACTATATTGTCTACAAATAATGTAGGATAATTTATGTGATTTTTATGTTATTTACATACCTGTGGGGTCGACGGTGTTTCGCTGATGTTTTGTGGAGATTTCTCGTGACCATCGGTTATAGCGGGAACATTCTGTAATATTTGTAATCTTTGTTTTATAACCAATTGGAAATAATCTAGAACTCATTTGTAACGTGTACAGTTTAAGTCTCAAAGAAAACAATTAACTCAATGTGTATTTACAGAGAGACAAACGATTGCTGCAATGTATAAAGCGAATGAATAGATAAATATGAAATTATTTCATTTGTTTTTCGATTAATTCATTATCGCTGACAATCAATCGGGTATAAATAATGCGTTACTGTTACGAGGTAATTATTGTGGCAGATTACTTCACTTGAAAATTCTTTTCATTGAAACCTAGATATAGTATTTTATTCCCTTTGAGCCTTGTCTAGAATTAGTTTGGGACCGTCGCTTAAAATCTTTATTAATATTTACAGAATTATATTTGTGTGCATAAAATAAAAATCATGTCTCAAGATTATGCTATTATACATTTCGTGATGTCTTTGGACTCTGACAATTCCTTTGCACTAGGTATGGAGGAATAGAAAAAAAAAATATTATTCTTTTAATTATATATTTATAGCATATGGGGCTTCGATCAATAATAGTACTAGATTAAGGATCAGGAACAAAAATAAGACGCTCCAGTGGCCACGTTTGCAGACACGAAAACATCTTCATTTCTTAGAAAAAAGTTTAATAATGTTAACGACTTCAGTTTATTCTAAACCTTAATACTTAAACATAAAGTTTAATTACCATTGCAAAATATATGTAATTAGGTCCTTTCGTCAGAAAAAGAATAATATGGAATAAATTTAAAATGTCACTTGAACATAAAAAGTCATCAGTACAAAAATATTTATTCTAAAATGATACTTAAAGCCTAATTTATAAGGTTAAAAATATTTGTTTAAAATTTCGTGCTTATTGTATTGTGGAACTAGATGTAGTTCTTGGTATTACATTTCAATGCTCAGAACACAGTAAGTATTGAAAGACATANCGAATATAACCACGCCACAATTACCTTGTACGCGTCCAATACGCTTGCCAAGAATACTAGGGCGGACCCTCTTTCACCCATTTGTCGGAGAAACAGCTACAAAAATTTCGAGATAGTAATTTATATAACCTTAACATATCGTTTAGATGAGGGCCGTCCAAATTACATACCTTTGCGGGCTAATTAAATTTACTAAAAAAGCTGGAAGGGGCCGCAGAAAAAAATATTTTCAAAAACAAAATACTTTCCAGACTAAAATATTAAAAAAAAAAGTTGTAAAAGATAGCTTCACTTTTAAATGATGTCATGGGAATGGTATGTTACAAGAATACAGATAAATAATACCAAATAATGATTATATGATTTGACAAAGAATTCTATTGTCCATACTATTTATATTCAAAACTATTTTCTGATTAAAACATGCGTCGCGGGCCGCATGATAACAAGTCGTTTTCTGGACAGTTCTGGTTTAGATGATACACATTATTACTTAACGGCTTGTCATACTACGATTTTTAGTTGCTGTAGAGTAGATTGAAAACTGCAGATAAGGTGTTGTTAACTCAAAGTAATGAACATTTTCCAAATAAGATATGACCTAAAGGTCTCTGTCACCAGGTCATAAAAAAACTGTTGTTAACAAACAAATCTATTCAGCTTTTCTCTGGTCCATTTTTGATGTTACCACTCGAATCCAGTGAGTCGATCCGTAATTGGATCTTGTCGGGTAAAGGAAAGTCTAAATAAAGGTGCGTATAACACAGATAGCCGCGCAAGTTTCAAAAAATGTAATTTAAGATTCGAACCGAAATTAAAATTACCGTTAGTCGTTGTTAATACAAACAATTGTGAATAAAACTTACCTGGGTAGATGCATGTTTATGTAAAATTTTCAATGATTTGATGATAAGTTTTTTTTTTAAACAAACAAACACGACATATGCGTATACGGCATATATAAATGATTCCGAATAAAAATATAACGACTCTCGATAGTTTTTGAGTGTATACTCAGTTTTTGTTTTAAAGATGCAAACAGTGTTTAGTAATATTTTAAGTGAAGTTCCAATTGCATGCTTTGCTTGGTAAAGTTAATATAAAACCTTTTTTTTCCTTCTAATTATACGCACACACGGGCACAACACACATGTAGGCTTAGTATAATTAGTGAGGCTTCAGACGTATTCATAATAAGCGGTTTTACTTTGATCAAGTTGGATACCGGTGAGGGCGAAGGCCTAGGAGTCTTGTGTCTGTAGACGGGACTGTGGTCGTCGTCGCCGCTCTTCAGCAGGCCGGATACCAGCGCCGCCTCGCGGTGGAAGTCGGGGTGCTTCGTGTTTATGTACGCAAGCTCGATAGCCACCAGGTTCTCCACCTACAACAATTATAATAATGATCATAAAATCATTTATTGCCTTTCACATTCTAAATAAAATAAAATACTAATAAAAGAGAAGAAAAAAAAGAGAATAAGGCAAAAGGAGATGGCGCAGCTAATGCTGTCAAGGTCGATAAATCGAACAGCGCTGATTATCAGTCACCCCCGTTTCCCTTTGGTTCTTTGCGGGAATGAAGGCTAGGTACGTGTGTACAGACTTAAAACATGGTATAAACTAGTATAAAAAAAAAGAAAAAAAAAACGAAACAAAAATCAAATTAAATGGTGAACCCGAAATACAAAACATACATAAGCACACACAGTAATAACAACCCGTGGGCAGCCTACAACGAAACAAACAAAGAAAATAAAATAAAAGAAAGCGCGATAATACTATTACTATTACTGGCAAGCAGCACAACATTTACACTAGTACATTATTAAAAATAATTTTGATAAATGAAAATTTTCACAAGCAAGGATTAAACTAGTTACTATAAATACTATAAATTAAATTAGTAAAGTTAGTTAAACAAGATACTATGTGTCAGTTTTTACAACTGAAAACAGATAAAACTATACGGGTTGTAAAGCGATGGTCTCCGACTGTATGTTCTACGAATCATCGGATTTGTAATAGCAAAAAAATTACAGCTTGTCGCATACTATAATTTTTTTGACATATCTCCCGGCGAGGAAATATTTGTCGTTCAGGGCAAAGTAGGAGGCACCAGACCGCGTAGAAGGTTGCCCATGCGGTCGATCGACAAAGTAAAGTCGGCGGTTGGCGGTTGTTTACATGAGATTATCAAGCTCACCACAAACCGAGACAAGTGGCGATTGCCCGTGAAGCGCATAACATCTACCCACAGCATTGATACTGAATGACGACAGAATTACTGGTGGTAGGACTTCTTGTAGGTACCACCGCTCTGCCTATTTTTGCCGTGAAGTAGTAATGCGTTTCGGTTTAAAGAGTGGGGCAGCCGTTGTAACTATACTTGAGACTTTAGAACTTATATCTGAAGGTGGCTGGCGCATTTACGTTGTAGATGTCTATGGGCGTAGACGTCTATGTTCAGTAACCACTTAACACCAGGTGGGCTGTGAGCTCGTCCACCCACCAAAGCAATAAAAAATTAATAAATAAAAAGGATATAATTATGGCAGGTACTATAGGTCGTATCAGAATTGTCTATCATTTTCGTTGGCGCTTTCGATACAATGGTGTATTATGAATGCTGTATAACAAATCGACTTACCATAGAATTGGTCGGGGGCAATCTAGTCCTCAGCAGTTGGGTGACGACGTCGACGATGCGCTGGTGCAGGCGCGGGAAACGTAGCATTTCCTGTTGGACTTCGGTGCCGCAGTGCTGAACGATCCTCTGCATTTCTTCGTGTACCTGTGTGTTGAAATAAACGAATATAACGCTTGTTTACAATTAGGTGAAAAGGCATTAGTAAAAAAATATACTATAGCTAGTACCATTAATGAAATTTAAGCATAATAGTCATGTAAGTAAATACAGGGTGTGGTAAAAATATACTATGGCTATGAAATTTATTCATAATAATCATGTAAATACAGGGTGTAGTCCTATAACATATACAAAGGGCAGTTCTGGAAATGTTCACGGTAGGTATAAAATTTCAAATGCTCTATCTACTTCTTAATATATAGCACTAAAAGTAAACCTATATAGTAGTGTACAGACAGCAGAATAATTGAATAACGTTCTAGTGGTCAACAACACCAACATAAAATAATGAGTGTATGATCATGGTATAACTGTGTAATGACTACTATAATTCGTTCATTTAAGAATGAAATTTAATATTTTGTAAATACATATTTTAAAGATTATTATTAACAATAAGCATACCAGTTCAACACAACGTAACGACGGGTCTTCCAGTCTTCTAATCTGTCGCTTTACTAGAAGCTCAAAAGATACCTCAGGGACGAATAAAGCCGGTCTAGGGCCTGTAGCGTTGCGGATCGCGGTCAAAATGTCCATGCGGGTCAAACCTGGCGACGAATACAATACATCAACTAGAGTGTACACACCGAAAACATTATCTATTCTTATTAAATAGACAGATTCATGGTCTATGGACTCATGTGGTTACTGGACATCATTGACATAACTAAGTGAATGTTCACCCTGAAATTTTATGTGGTAGTTATAATAGTATTGAAACACGGCTATCATAAACAGGAATGGTAGCAGAAATAACTATGCTAGAATTGACTCTGCATACCGGTTTTTAATATCCCTTAACATAGTTAAAGTTAGTGATTGCTACTATGAGCTATTTAAGGAAATAGAGTAGGAAACAAAATCAATTTCAAGAAAATTTTAGCATTCATGAAATCTCAATTTACACTTATCACAAGTAATCAAGATTGTTGATTAGCGTGTCATTAACTTACTTTAATTACCAGGCTCTTTTATTGAGTATTGAGTGAAAAATATTTTTGTGTTTATCGTAACTCACCTACTAAAGGATGTATGGAGTCCAAAGTGCGTCCAAAAGTTTCGTGGAATATATAACAGATTCTGGCGCCGCCACAAAGTTCAGTGGTCTCAATGTTCCTGGCGGTACCTTCTATTGTCGAACAATAAGCACTCGCGAATTTCGTTATAATTTGCAATAACGTCTGAGACTTGTCCGACACATCTTCGCCGTAGGAGTTCAGAAGAGATTGGAATTGTGATATCATTACATTAACACGCACCTGAAATAACATCATAAATTAATTTGTTACAAACATCCTAATAGAGGCGCAATTTAACATCTGCGACTTGTTTACATGTGATTTTTAACATCTTTTTAATTAATCTTTAAAAAAATACACACAGAATTGTAGGTATAGTTTTATTTTATTGAAGGTCTTTAATAATAACATACCTTAAGTTCTGGTAGGCAATCTCTTATATGATGCATGAGTAGTCTATTCAATGTTTTAGCTAAATACGGAGTTCCATTACGTGTTGCTATAGTGGGATACTTCCTTTGGAGATAAGTGGCTTCATCTTTCAGTGCATCCTGAATATAAATATGTAATATGAGAAAAATAAACACCCACTCCAAATTGAGGAGCTTCTTTCAGTTTTTTCTTTAAATTTGATTATGAACATTCACAACACCGAAATTTGACTGCTTTTTTTTGGGCATGTTCACCCAATTTTGGTGCTATGAAGGTTGCCAAACTCCATCACCTCTGCTTTCACATAATCGGAACTTAATATTGTTACCTTATTTACCAACTTTATGCCAATCAATTATATCCCGATTTGCAACAGAGCAATCCCCAAAAATATTAGTGAAGATAACTAACTGCCTTTCATAAAACTAAGCCAAAACTAAGTAAAAAATTACAAGGAATGAACCCATGCTATACTTTTTACGGAAAATTTTTCACAACTAGCGACTAGCACAAACTACAAGTAGTAGTTAGTATAAGTTCAAACAATGTAAAACCACTTTGACAAAATATGTTTAAATTGTTGTCATAAAATGTTAAATTTAAGATAAAAGAAAGTAAATCAACTATGTAAGCATACCATCACCATTAAGATTACTTTTAATTTTTCATATTGAATGTCAAGTTTTTTATTTATTTAAATAAATATTCATAACATGTTTCTTCTTTGTATACAATTACCGTGATGGTTTTCTTATCAATAATGTCTTGTTGTGATCTATTTACGACGCCAATGATTCCTAGTTTAACCGGAATAACGCGCCCACACAGAATATCTATTGCATCAGTTCCTAAAAATAAATATATACATTAATAATAGTAAAGCGAAACGTAAACAAGAATCATTATTCATCATATCAAGAATTATTCTTATAAGGCCCTCATCGACATTTGATTGGCTGTTATTGTGGTAGCAGCTTGGTTGGTATCTGCAGTCAAAAGCGTTTATTTCTCAAAAGATTACAATATAATTAACACAGGAAACCTTTCACTATATGCAAAATTTAAACAATTTATGAAGACAAGTAAACCTGAGATTTTGAAACTGCAGGGAATTGGGATCTATATTTTATTCAGTCACAGGGGTTATAATCTCATGAGAATTATTGTTATATCTTTGTGTCGCAATGTTATTCGCTGAACTCCATATATCAAGTGTTAGAAAATTTACAAAGAATATTTTATACTGCAGTATTATATGTACATTTTTGGATTTTAAGGCAGTGTCTATTTTGTAAAAATTGTTTATAGGTATAACTATTAAATGGGTCGCCTGGTCATAAACCCCCATGGGAAAACGCCAACATCTTATGTTTAGCTGCGAAGCTATGCAATATTATATCTTTATAATATTGCATAGCTTTTTATATATAATATTGTTTTTTTTTTTTTTTATAATATTGAATAGCATTCCAACCTCATGTTTAAATGTGTTTTTCAGAATGCATATTGTGATCTATGGGCTCCGGTAAACATCTAACAGCAGGTGAGCCATTAGCTTCTTCACTATACAAAACAATAAAATACGAATTCTTATTGTTATTTTTCACTGTCACTGATTTTGAACCATACAGTATATAGTAGAACCGTATCTAACAAACTTTAAGTACAGTTTATGAACTGTACAGCACAATAGGATTTTGTGGAATGCACTACCATTCTTGTATAATTGAATTTCTCTGATGACGCCATGAAAATCTATTTAGAAAGTATTTAATTAATTATTGTGAGAATAGCAATCGTCATAAATCGCCTACACCAAAATGTAGGCAAAAATGTATGTATTTAACTAATTTGCATAGTTAGAAAATTGATAAGTGTTATCAATGATTACAGTGTTTGATATTTCAAAAATGTTGTAAACTATTCAGTTTAAATTTAAAAAAATGTTGTTATTTTTTAATAATAATATAATAGTAGTAATAATAATTTATTTATTTATTTCTCTCTCTCTCTCTTTTTATATTTCAATTGACCTAATTGGGATCAGATCTTGTTTTACAAATGCTAAGCCACAAAGCAAATAATTTTCTATGCATTTATCAGTGGCTAATAAATGTAAGAAAGGTTATTAGTTTAATACCTGCATCCATGAGATCAAGTTTGGTGACAACAGCCAATGTCCTTCGGCCATCAGGGTCCACATCCTTAGCCAATTTGATGGCTTCACTAGTCGCCATGTCTGTATTAGCAGCTGTTACAGCTAATATAATGGAATTTGGGTTAGAGATATACTTAATAATAAGGTTTCTGATTTGGTTTTCTATGTCTTCTGGTTGATCACCTATTGGCACCTAAAAGAAAATTTAATTCAGTTTTTTTCTAATATTTTCTAATTTTGCAGTACTTTTATTCCTTTCAATTGTTGATTAGCAACCTGTCACATTAATATCCGAGTCTTCATTGATCAAACAGTATGATAGTGGAGATGCGGCAATTCTATGCCAAGAGTCAAAAGTACTATTTTATTTCTGCAGTGAATAAGTCAAGTACTTTAGTCTGAAGGTGGTGATTTAAGCTTAATAAAGACTTAGTAGTTTAAGCTTAAAGATTAAAGTACGAGGGGCATACTTTAAAGCTTTATTATTTCTTATTGTATGAATATCACTTTTTTAAGTAACTGTGAGTATGTTAAAACAAAAAAAAAATCTAACTTCAACATTATTTTTAAGTCAAAAGCTTAAGTTTTATTATTTTAGGTCTCTAAATTTTCATCTCTTCCATTGAAATTTGATATATCGAGTTTTAACTGTAATGTAAGGAACTTGCCTTTGTTATACCGGGTAGATCGACTAAAGTAAGGTTGACAACTGTGGTTGAATATATTTTCAAGTTTATAGGTTCTGGAGATATTCCCTTGTTGCTGCCAGCCATACGGTCAGTTTCTCTTTCTATTTCTTGTCTTATCTCTTCAAAGTTTGTGTAAATTTTGTCTTTTGTGTGTAGGAACTTTCCCCATTCTTCTAGATTAAGAGTACCTGAAACAAAGTAAGAGGTTAGATGAACCATTTCAAAACATGCAACTTAAGATTTTTATTTTATCATAATACTCCAAAACCAGTATGTTTATTTTAGGTAAAATAATCTGTAGGTATGCCGTTACTGTATAAACAAAAAGTAATTATTAGCTTTGGCACTTTCAATAGTTACATATATTGTAATATAAAATAAAAATTGTGTAATATCCATCTTATATTTCATAACTTATTATTACAAAAAAAATCATTTTTAAATATAGAAAACTTCAAACAATTCTTTTGCCGTGGCCTAATGGATAAGACGTCCGACGCATTTGTGTTGAGCGATGCACTGGTGTTCGAAACCAGTGGCGCATTTACGTTGTGGATGTCTATGGGCTCCAGTAACCACTTAACACCAGGTCGGCTGTGAGCTCGTCCACCCACCTAAGCAATAAAAAAAAAAAAAAAAAAATACCATGTATTATGTTATGATATATAAGTTATTATTATGTTACATGAATATGAAACAATTCCGAGATTTGATATTAGTTGAAATCTATCTATCTCTTAGGTTTATGGCGTTTCCTTTTAGATTTCGCCAATTAGTAGAAATCTTTAGAATATTCCAACCTCAAAATACAAACCTGCTGAAAATATTGATTGAGTAATCTGTGCCATTGGATTCCATGACGCAGCTTCTTTATGTTGGGCTTTTAGTACTAAAATAATAGTTTTTCATTGATAGGTAAGTATCATGGATTGATTTTAACAAGAAAAGTAAATTTTGAACTTAATCATAATTAGATACCTAATTGTTGTGTTTTTGTTTTGAAAACATTTTATTTATGGTGCTACTCGATTAAAAACAATATTTTTTTATACTCCACACACTCTCAAATAATAGGACGTAGAACACTTTGTCAACTCAAAACAAGACCTTTATTTCTTTCTTTTAAATGTTTGGTTCTCGTGTTATGAGATTACCGAATACATTCACATATAGGTATAGGATGATAGATATGCTACACTTGCCCTACAAATAATCTACATGTATTGAAGCGGTGAATAAGCAGGATGGATGTGAATAAGTGGCATGCAAGTCACCCATATTGGTCTGACTATTACTGCTGAGTGAACATGGTTCACAAATTGATTAAAATTTCTTATAAACATTTGAGGTAATGAGTTTGAACAGAATACTACACAAAAAAATTATGTAATAAAGACTATTTGAGTCATTTTTTTTACTTTTGAAATTTGGAGTAATTATTAATTGCTTTGATACATGAATCTTTACAAATGATAACTGACAATGAAGATTTCTAGTTCAAGTATTCGTATCCTATTGAAAACAATATGAATAATTATAACGCAATAATATACAAATTAGTTTGACTGTTAATATGATTGTTAAGTTAATTTATGGCTCAATTTAGGTAATAATTTTAATCATAGTGATAGGTTCAAATGATGTATGAGCTGTTATTAAGCATTAACTGAGATGTCACTAACCTTCTTCAGCTGAGCGATGTTCTTTGCCTTCTTTTGGACTGTAGACTAACTGGAGAATGAGAGGACGCCGAGTGACTATCCCAGGACCCCGAGGCAGAAATGAGCGACCTACCAGGCTTTCTATCACTGAACTTTTACCAGAGCTCTAAAAATACATAATTATTTAAAAAAAAAATTAAAGTAAGAAGAATAAATTTACACCCATACTGAACAGATAATTTTTTATATCATTTTTTCTTATGATTAAAACTACGTTTCATGTTGCGTTTATTTATTGGAAATTCGCGACGGGCGACGGTCGTCCTTGTGGACAGTTTTTTAGTTTTTGTGGTCATTCTATAAGAACTGTAAAATACTCATTTCGTAATAGTTATCAAACTATCTAACTTTTATTTTCATAATGAAGAGTAGGTTTGCCATTCGATAAAACTAATAATTTGCTTTAGATTCGATCGAAGTCCATTTTTCCAAAGCAGAATAGGGTTCTTGTTGCAATTTATGTCTATTAAGACGTAAGCCATTCTTGCGTAGGTACATATTATTTTAATTCAATGAAACTGTACTACGGTCTTGGTCAATGACAACGTAGTTTAATTTGAATGAGGACAAAGAACTCTACTGACGTTTTTACATAACCACGACGATCTGTATGGCCTTTTATACCTTGTTAATAACAATGCTCAAAAATATAATAGTCTTGCTGAAATTCTAAAAGAATACAGGCCCAAATTTACCTGGGTTCCTAAAACAGCTATTTGGGGTAATTGAATGGCATCAGCTCCAACTGTATTGAACACATCTTGTAGTTTATTAATAACTGGTATAAGGGCTTCCATTATTTAAAAATATATAGGCACTTTTACAAATGCCTAAATCTAAGAGACACGTTGGTTTATCTGTTACGAAACGATAATTTTTTTATCAAAATTCAAAACAGACAGAAGACAGGCCAACCGGTAAAAGTCAGCCATATTGATTTTGTTAAAAATGAGGGATGCCTATTTGAAAACGATTTATTGAAGAATCGATTTTTTAAATAAGTTCGATTTTCTTTCAATTTACCAAAGAGTGGATTTCAGATAGGAGAAACAAATAAAAGACAATAATTTTGAAATTATTTTTTTGCTTTTTATTTGTTCATAATAAATAAATGTATTGCTTATTCAATAATTTATAATTGACTGATATTCAAATTTGTACTAAAGCCGACTAGGAACTGTCTGTTATGCTCTTAACCAATATGAGCCCAGTGGAATTCTCATGTTAAAGGAAAGTAGCAACAGTTCACACATATTTATTTAAAAATAGAAGAGCCAACATTAAAAAACACATTTCAAACGTGGCAAAGTAAAAATAATCATGCCAGTATTTTGTGAAAATTATTAAAATTTAAATAGATCTAAATCTAAGTTTAAAGATTCAATTATTGTATTTTTTTAGCGTTGATGGTTGGACGAGCTCATGGCGCACCTGATATTAAGTTGTAACCGAAGCCCATAGACATTTACATCGCAAATGCCGCCACTCACTTCGAGACATGAATTCTAAGGTCTCCGTTTTTACAGTGCAACGGCTGCCCCACACTTCAAATCGAAATGCATTACTGCTTCACGGCAGAAAAAGGTGAGATGGTGGTGCTTACCTGTGCGGTCTCACTAGATGTCCTACCACTAGTAAATTCTCACTAAAAATGTGTGGAGGTATACGAGAAAGGGAAGATCTTCCACCAAGCGGGTGATATTGCTCGGTAGACCGACGGTCCCAAAATTTATATTTCGGAATTTGTATATAAGCAAGATAATCTTGAAAATATGGTAAGCGAGATTGAGGCATCTGTCGAATATATGTGATGGCAACCACCACAAATGTGATCGAGAATTTAAGATTTGATTTGTCTGAGCTGATTTTTAAGTAGAAAAAATGGATTGCCTGTAAAGTTGGCTTGCGGAAGATAGTTATACGTGATTAGGTACGTCATAAGAAACACTGATGAAAAATTGTATACTTTAATTATTTGAATTGAATTAATATCACTGAGTTATAATTTTTTATAAGGAGTTAATTGAAAAATTTTTTTTTTCAATAAATTAACACTTGTGTCGATCGTACCTTTCTAACGGTAGTTTCGTTCTCTCGCTTGCACGTTCAGGCTCAGGCGGAACGTGTTACTTTTTCGTGTGTGCAGCCCGTTTTTATTGATTTATAAGACGTTATCACGTCAAAATAACATACAAGTTGATCATTAACATGACACAATAATATTTCAGGAACGCCGTGACATCTCTTTCATCAATGTAGGCTCAACGAGAGCATTTTATGGTAGGTAGCTGATTAGGTAGATGATGTCTCTACGACAGGCAGTGTCCGCGGGCGCGCGGACCACTTTCCATCAAGTGGATTGTTTAATTAATCGCTTGTTAATACAAAAAGACACTAACACTAACTACATAGCCTTTTACATAGAAAACCTATTTTTTCTGTAAAGATAAATTCATGAAATTAGCTGAAATTGAACTGAATAGGAGGAAATCAAGTTTTTTATTTATTAATTAATATTTTTAGCATGTGCTTCACTTATTGTAATTTATATTATGGTTGAGTTCCAATCGAAACAATAGCTTAGTGAAACTCGATTTTATAGTTTCTGAAAACGATTCACTGGGTCAACTGCTTGTTTACTATCGATTTTTTTTAAATTAGTTCTTCGAAAAGTAGATTTCAGACCACAGTCAAAAGAACTCTTAAATATTAAATGTGTATCTATGCTAAAAACTAGGTATAACACAATCAAAGACTTGACCTAAAGGTCTTAGTTACCAGGTCATAAAATCCCTTAAAAAATTATCACACTCATAATGACGTCCTACCGACTTATCTACTTATTGGTATAGAAATAAATACATAAATAAACACTAAATAGGGGAAACTGTGACCGAAAAAGTGTTTGGTGTATATTTTGATGTTTACTTTAATTTAATATAAAATGATTTAAATGCAACAACAAAGATTGAAGTGAAGCATCAAGTAATAATTACTAATAATTAACCAAAACTCTTGTTGTTTATCAGCTGAAAATATATCTAACGTGCCAAAATGTTTCGACCAGAAGTAAAGATCCTCAATTTACTTAATGTATGATTATTGAAATAATTAAATTTTCTGACAGCCTCTTAACTTACAGGAAACAAATGTTGATGCCGGTCGTCATACGTCTAATTCGCAGTCCATTGAATTTGGTCCTTGGCATATTTCGTATGATGTCAGCCGTATACTACCCAGTATGTGTGCCACTAAGGTGGTTTGCGAGAGAGATGACGACCAATTTTGTCAGTTCTGCACGTAAGTAATAAGTAATCGTTAAATTGATTGAACTGAAATATAGAAACCGAATTGCAATGTCTGTATGAGTTTTCGTTGTTTCAATTATGGTTTTCGGTTTTACATTTGCTTATTAACGTATGTCCACTAACTATGAGTACAAAATGACAAACCACCTAGTTTAAAGGAGTAAACGGAGTGTGTAGGTGTCAACATAAATACTCACTGACCTTGACATATAAGGTCAGTCTCATTTGCATTGTAAAAACAGTTATTCTATTGTTTANTAATGTATGATTATTGAAATAATTAAATTTTCTGACAGCCTCTTAACTTACAGGAAACAAATGTTGATGCCGGTCGTCATACGTCTAATTCGCAGTCCATTGAATTTGGTCCTTGGCATATTTCGTATGATGTCAGCCGTATACTACCCAGTATGTGTGCCACTAAGGTGGTTTGCGAGAGAGATGACGACCAATTTTGTCAGTTCTGCACGTAAGTAATAAGTAATCGTTAAATTGATTGAACTGAAATATAGAAACCGAATTGCAATGTCTGTATGAGTTTTCGTTGTTTCAATTATGGTTTTCGGTTTTACATTTGCTTATTAACGTATGTCCACTAACTATGAGTACAAAATGACAAACCACCTAGTTTAAAGGAGTAAACGGAGTGTGTAGGTGTCAACATAAATACTCACTGACCTTGACATATAAGGTCAGTCTCATTTGCATTGTAAAAACAGTTATTCTATTGTTTATGAGAATCAGACTAACCCATAACTGGCCCATAACAAAAAATTGCAATCATTGTACTGGCATCTATAGAAAAATTACCAATATTTCCCTCACCACTGTTAAGAGAATGTGCGATGTCCAATCTGATCTCTATTCATGTTACTGTTACCTGATGTTATAGTCATATGTATCAGATAGTTCGGATGTTCTCAAACACCATTCAATTTGAACCGAGTTGTACTTATTGTAATAGGTGGCTCACTAGCTGGGAATGCTCACATTACTTAAAAGTAAAATTAATATGTTCATAGTTGATTTATCAATTCCAGTTACTCTAAAGAGCTGAAGATTCCACATTTCCCTGATATGGTATTTCCAAAAAACAGATTAACATTAGCACATAAAAGCGGTGCTAGTATAAACTTTAATCCTCTGGATGCTCTTAAAAGGGTGGCTAGCACAGTGGAGCCAGTTGAAGTGTCCTGTTCTGAAGTGTGGATGCAAGCACGGTAATGNCATAGTTGATTTATCAATTCCAGTTACTCTAAAGAGCTGAAGATTCCACATTTCCCTGATATGGTATTTCCAAAAAACAGATTAACATTAGCACATAAAAGCGGTGCTAGTATAAACTTTAATCCTCTGGATGCTCTTAAAAGGGTGGCTAGCACAGTGGAGCCAGTTGAAGTGTCCTGTTCTGAAGTGTGGATGCAAGCACGGTAATGAAACCTATTTAATCTGTGGGCTTAACTTTATTAATTGATGTCATATTTACTAAAATTGGATTTAGTGAAAAATACAATCTAATATAAATTCTAAAAATTATTTGTTAATAAACTCAAGATATTATTATTCAAAGTTTTATGGGTATATTGAGTAGATGTAATACCTTTTATTGCTATTGTAAGATATAGCCAAAAATAAAAAAAGGTAAAAATAGCGGACATATACAAAAGTGACACCTACATTACCCATAGACATTTATTAGAACCTTACCAATTTTTATTTAAACAAAATATTCTTACAGCTGTTGGTAATAACATTATTTTTATTGTTGATAAGATACTGTTTTGGCAAATCGTTGTAGTGCCCTCTTGCATCCAATTGGTTTAATAAGAGACTGAGAAACAAGCGTTTCAATGTTTGAAGTCATCGTGGCCTAAAGGATAAGACATCTGATGCATTCATATCTAGTGATGCACCAGTGTACCTATCCTGCTGGAACATACCAATTTATCTAATGAAATACGTACTTAACAAATGCTCTCAATTAACTATCATGGTGAAGGAATAACATAGTGAAATAAAAATCAAACCCGCAAAATTATAATTTGTGTAATTACTGGTGGTAGGACCTCTTGTAAGTCCGCACGGGTAAATACCACCACTCTGCCTATTTCTGTCGTAAAGCACTAATGCGTTTTGGTTTGAAGGGTGGGGCAGCCGTTGTAACTATACTGAGACCTTAGATCTTATATCTCAAGGTGGGTGGTGGCATTTACATTGTAGATGTCTATGGGGTCCGGTAACCACTTAACAACCAGGTGGATTGTGAGCTCATCCAGCCATCTTAGCAATAAAAAAAGTATTATTACAAATAACAGTATTAACACTATGGTTGAAATACATATGATGAATATTTTTATTTTAGACCATATGCAGAAAAGTTGAAGAAATCATTTGATTGGACTTTTTGTACAGATTACAAAGGATCTATCAGTGATAATATTACAGTTTGGGAAACTGAAGAGTCTATTGATTTTGAACTGTTAAAACAGAAAAACCAGATACTCTTCTACCATGATTTGACTTTATTTGAAGATGAGCTGCATGATCATGGTGTATCAAAGCTCTCAGTGAAAATTGTAAGTACACCATTAATATTTAGAAAATATTTAACATAAAGGATATATCGGGGCAAATATGATGATTCACCTACTTATTATAAAAATAATAATGATTGAATGTGATAATCTGATCATCTCATCATCAACTAATTACTCTGTGTTTATTACGATGAGAAATTGATGTTAATTGTAATTTTAATACTTTAAAAACGTGTAAACACGCGCACGTGTACTAAGCCCTATAAATACGGCCGTACTGTCTAGCGCTTGGTATTAACCCATAGACAGCCCACTGAGTTTCTCGCCGGATCTTCTCAGTCGGTCGCGTTTCCGATCCGGTGGTAGATTCAACGAAGCACTGGTCTTGCTAGGGTCAGTGTTAGCAACACTGGTTTGAGCCCCGTGAGCTCACCTACACACGTTAGGGTGAAGCTGAAATAGCCTCTCAAGGCTATCAGCATAGGTAGGAAAAAAAAAAGCGCTTGGTCATTCGTGCCCGAGCCGTAGTACAGTACGGATCTCTCTAGAACGCTGTTACGCTTTTCGTGAAATATACGAAGCTCACCAAGTTCTCGTGAAGTTTTCTTTTTGAAACCCAAACATGAGTCATTGTCAAGAAATTAATAACCGTGATGTCAGCAATGCTGTGTGTGCAAGTACACTTTTTAAAAACATTGCGGAGGTTTCTCCTCCTTTAGATATAATAACTATAATAAGAAAAATAATTGGGAACATATCACGCACAGTAATCTGGCAGTGTCGGGACACACACGGACTGGCGACGTGAAGAATCGCAGCTTAAGCATTATTTGGCCAGTTACTCCGCCAAAGCCAAACGGAACAAACGAGTAGACATACACACTCTACGATGACGGTTTCCAACACACAGGGGACAGAGACCCTAAGACCCTTTTGATAGTCGTCGTGGCCTAAAGGATAATCCTAAAAGGATAAAGAGTTCGAATCCCGCAGGCGGGTACCAATTTTTGTAATGAAATACGTACTTAACAAATGTTCACGATTGACTTCCACGGTAAAGGAATAACATCGTGTAGTAAAAATCAAATCCGCAAAATTATAATTTGCGTAATTACTGGTGGTAGGATCTCTTGTGACTCCGCACGGGTAGGTACCACCACCCGGCCTATTTCTGCCGTGAAGCAGTAATGCGTTTCGGTTTGAAGGACGGAGCAGCCGTTGTAACTATACTGAGACCTTAGAACTTATATCTCAAGGTGGGTCGCGCATTTACGTTGTAGATGTCTATGGGCTCCAGTAACCACTTAACACCAGGTGGGCTGTAAACTCGTCCACCCATCTAAGTAATAAAAAAAAAATCCCTAAAAGGCTTATTGGCATTTGGCTGAATTTAGTGTCTGAATTCAGAAGCAAATTTAGAAGTTTCTGATTAAAGGCTTATTACATTTGGCTGAATTTACTTAGTCGTCTGAATTCAGAAGCAAATTTAGAAGCTTCTGATTACACTGTTCTAAATTCAGTTACTGAATCAATTGTCAGTTTAAACGCGACGAAGTAAGACGTGTCGTGTGCGTGAGAGGATTGCCCCAGTATTGTTAAACAACAACAATTTTTTTGTTTTTTTTTTGTTTGTTTTTTGTTTCAATTTCTGAAAAAAAAAAAAAAAAAAAAAACAAGAATATCGGTGAAGAAATATTTATTGCTGTGCGGAATGTTAGCAAATATGAACATGATGAGTGATTTAGAACCAGCAGACTTCAGAAATTATCTATAAATGGATTCGATCTCGTTTGACCTAATATTAAACCTTGTGACACCGTTTATTCAAAAGCAGGATACTATCCTACGAGTCTATTATATATCTATTATATAACTATTACATATCTAATTCTACGATAGTATAAGTCCAAAAGAAAGATGGGTTGTAACATTAAGATTTCTTGCAACAGGAAATTCGTATCAAGATTTAAAATTTAGTTCTTCAATATCCCAACCCCTGATGACAAAAACTATTCCTGAAACATGTCGGGCTATTTATAAATGTCTGGCACATTAAATAAAGGCGACCGAAATTAATACTTTGTATTCGGAAGCAAAAAACAAACTAAAACGTCCTCACGCACGGAGAGCTAGGTCTCCGTGCTTGGCTTCCCATTCAGTAACTAAATGCGATTACACCTTCCTAAATGCGTTTCTAATTAGGCTTCTAAATGATTCAGTCAGTCAGAAACCATCCTTGCTACTGAATTCAGTAGACTAACTTACTTAATGCTATTACACTTGACTGAATTCAGTAGCGTCTGAATTCCGACGTCTGAATTCAGCCAAGTGTAATAACCTTATAAGGCTCAAAAGATCACCCCCTCCTGCTTCAATAAATAAATACATGTAGTCGAATTTTAATACCAACATTGAGGATTCTCTGTGATACGGGTACCAGAGATAAACATACTTATATATGTTTAAATATATAATAAACATCCAGACAAAGAGCAAACAAACCTGTTCATTACACAGTGTTTGCCCGATGTTGGAATCTAACCCACGATCCTTGGCACATCAGTCAGGACCACTAACTACTGCAACACTGAGTTAGTAAAATTATATTCAGTAAAGCTTGTGCTTACGGTGTTACTCTGTCACTTAATTTGAAATAATATTTCAATCTGTTCTGGTCTATTCTATTCTGTGTCAAACCAAACTGTTTTGCTACCTTATTCTTACAGAGTAGAGTAGTTATGGTTTATTGTATAATAATGGTTATGAATAGATAGAAAGAAAGGAAGTAAAAAAAATCTATTGCTTATTATGACAATACTATTGTACCTAGGCCACTTATGTGTATAATATAGTTATTGACCTTGAGGCTCAAGAAAAATGTTCCAAATTATACATACACATACAATGCGTTTCAAATAAGAATGTGCACGGACCTGCGCTATATTGTGACGTCATAACTGTCAAATCGAAAAATGTATATATTTATGTAGTCAGTAAAAAAAATAGGTATTTTAAAATTATATTTATTTTGAGACCAAAACTTCACGTTCGCCTATTCCACTCACCCCACTGCTTCAGAAATCATCATGATCGTCGCTGTCACAATCCTCATTGCTGCTTTCCACTACAAACAATATTTGGGTCATTAAAATATTCCATTGGTTGATGATATATGAAAGTAAAAAAATGTATGAACACTTCAGAGCCGTGGGTATTATATAATTGGTCTGTTTTATAGGACTTTGGTGGTTTGTTTTGTATATCAACTAGTAAAGCTCTGGCTTGGTATATCATGGCTCAAATTCGAAGTATCGAAAAAAAGAAAAAAATATTTTTCTTGCTGTCCATACTTTTTTATCGAGTTTTGACAAATCGAGGTCATTGACGCGCACATTCTTATTTGAAACTATGTGCATTTAATATGAAAATATCAATATGTGAATATATGTTCTTATTGTTTTAGAGAGTTATGCCATCCTATTGGTTTGTTTTGTTGAGATATTTTTTGAGAGTGGATGATGTCCTAGTCAGATCAAATGAAACTAGGATGTTTCATATGCTTAACACAGATTACATACTAAGAGAATATACTTCTAAAGAATCGAGCGCAAAGGATTTGAATGTAAGTACATTGTATTGAAATCTTCAAAGTTTTTGATGTAAATTAGGAATCTTAAAACTTTTTACTAAACAACTAAAAACTAATATATTACAGTAGATATTTCATTTTTTTTTATATTATCCCGTTAATTGATATTTAAAATCACTAAATACAACATTATGCCCTAAATTACAGATGCCCACGTCCCACATGAAGGAAGCAGATGACGTCATTCCATTTTTACCTGTCAAGGAGAAAATTACACATAAGCTTCATTTTAATTGTAGTTCCTAGTTACTGATCTCGGAATTTGTTAACAAGCTTAGAATAATAAAACAGATTGTATCCGTTTTTGTACATTTACTAGACTGCATTTTTAATTCAATATACTTAAATTAATATTTTGAAAAAATTCGGATAGTAAAACTTTTTAAATCTTATTGGAGCAATTGATAAAACTAAACTGATATAGACATTTTTGTGAAAACATAATTGAATCCATTATAAAATCACGTAGCAATCAATATTCCTCAAGGTACAAGTAGCGACGGAACAAGTAGTAACATACTACAAGCCGAAATGTGACTGTATATCAACAATGTAAATCACGTTAAAAATTTAAAAAAAAATTAAGTCGTAATTGCTATGTAGTTTCACATAAATATTAATTATTCAATTAATTCAACTGTTAGGTGACAGCCCTGTATTGAAACAACAAAAGTAGCGTCAGGCCGTTCATTCGGTCAAAGGCGTCAGAACGAGATAGACATTAAAAAAACATCAACGGAACAAATTCGTTTCTCATTTAAAACAACGAATATAACAAACAATGCAACATTATACATCGCACCTTTAGAATTGAAGTGACTTAATCCAAATTTGTTAATTTTTGGGAAACGTCATAAATGTATGTAATTGAAGAACTTGTACTTTAAGGTATGCGTTTGATTTAAAAGAGATGGAAAGAGTACGCTTGTTCTGCAACTAAAAGAGACCATTTAATTTTATAAACTAGAATACAATTGTTTATAAGCCGTTCGAAGTATCAAACTTATTACGCCGAATATTACTAAAGAACAATGGCAGCTTTCTATATAACATTTTACCTGATATTTATTTGAAGCGTCTTGAAATAAAAAATGCTAATACGATAGGAATAACATAACTTAAGCTTAATCAGAAATATTTTTGTTACCTATTAGAAAGTCACAAAAAAAAGTTGTTAACGTGTTTACTTTATAATTTGAGGTTATCTATCGATAATAGATGTCTCTGATTTTTGTAGGCACGGACTATAACAAATTGAAAAAATAAGTAAACGATAATAATATGTTTATATAACATTTTTAGTTTCATTATCATAGATGACCCCTGTCACCTAAGCTGTTTATCGCGGTTCTAGAAGATGTATTTCGAAACACAGACTGGAAAAATAGAGGTATAAAAATAAACAACAGGTATCTAAATCATCTCAGATTTGCGGACGACTTAGTTATGCTGTCTGAAACAGCAAATGAATTACAAGATATGCTCCGCTCTCTTGTTCAAGCGAGCTCACAAGTAGGATTAGAGATGAATGCTACAAAAACCAAAATCATGACAAACAGCATAGAACGACCCATCAATGTAAAAGGAAAAACTATAGAATATGTCTACAGTTACATCTACCTAGGCAAACAAATATCATTTTTTAAAACGCACAATGAAGACGAAATTGAAAGAAGAACAAACATAGCCTGGAAGAAATTTTGGTCACTCAGAGAAATTTTAAAAGGAGACTACTCAATAAACCTTAAGAAAACTGTATTAGACACCTGTATACTGCCTTGTCTACTGTATGGCTGCCAAACTTGGGTATACACGACAAGAGCAAAACAAAGAATCACNGAACAAACATAGCCTGGAAGAAATTTTGGTCACTCAGAGAAATTTTAAAAGGAGACTACTCAATAAACCTTAAGAAAACTGTATTAGACACCTGTATACTGCCTTGTCTACTGTATGGCTGCCAAACTTGGGTATACACGACAAGAGCAAAACAAAGAATCACAACAACACAAAGAGCTATGGAGAGAAGTATACTAAACATAAGAAAAGTTCAAAAAGTCAGGAGCAAAGTAATAAGACAGAAAACAAAGATGACAGATGCCCTCACACAAGCTCTAAAATTGAAATGGCAGTGGGCAGGTCACGTATTGAGATACACAGACACCAGGTGGACAGTCAACACTACAATCTGGAAAGGGCCAATTGGCAAAAGAAGGGTAGGGAGACCGAAAAGATGATGGGCTGACGACATAACCGAAATAATAGGAAAATACTGGCAAACGATCGGCAAGGACAGAGATCAGTGGAAAGGACTGGAGGAGGCCTTCACCCGAGGAGGGGTCCATATCCAATAACAAAAATTAACTCGTACTAACATTTAGACAATAAGCATTAATAACTAACTAAACACTAACAAATATTTAATACCACATTGCAAATGAAAGTTCAGGATAAGGAAATACAGGCTTTTTTATTTTTTATTTTTTTATTTTATTTTGTTTATCATAGATGAATCAAGGATACACCTATAAATAGTACTCGAGTAGGTATCCCTAGCAATTGCAGAGCTACCTAAGTACACACATAATTATTATGTAGTTTGTTCTTTCTTCTTTGTAAATGTGTAAAAATGTGTGTCAGAGATAGGTACTTTTTTTGAACGCCTAGTCACATATTTGCGGCAAACGAAGGCTTGCAAAGCTAATTTACCTATTAGAGTAGACTATAGAGTCAGTTGTCATACTGTTAAAATCATTGTGTTCTGCAGTGCTGCCATTACTATTATTTAGTTATGTAATTATGTACTAATTGTAACAAAGGATAATTAATGTTATTATTTATCATTTTAAATACTTTTTGAAAATATTTATCAAAAAATACTGCTTTTTTTGTGGCATAAGTATTAATGCCATACATTACAAATGTATTAAACCGGAAGTACACCAAAATCGAATTAAAAGCTTATTAAATTAACATTTTTTCCGTGGCTTTGCCACGTAAATCTAATATCGTATAAAAACGAGCAAATAAAATAATTAAGTTTCGTTTATCTCTTAATCTAAGACGCCTTTTAAAGCATTCAGGTAAAAATTGCCATTCTTCTTTCACCTTTATTGCAAAGACAAAAGAAGCTATTTGATGTGCCAGCGCCGGCGGACTACTTATGTGTGAGTGTGCGTGCGTGTTTGTGCGTGTGCGCTGCGTGTGTGTGCGTGTGCGTGCGCGCATGTGTGCGTGTGCGTTAGGAGTGGGTAATATCGGTTTTGCCGCGTATCGAATCGTATCTATATATCGAGGATCAATATCGGATATTGAATCTATATATTTTCTGAATCTATATATTGATGGATGCTAGTAGATTTTCTCGATTCATGATATTTGAGATTTGAAACGATACGCTGATATAATATCATAGTAGATATAGATTTAAGTCAACGTTATACGGTTGGTTTTCTGATATCAATTTATAATATGATCTTAAAGTAATAAAAAGAACATGAAAATAAAAATATCAAAAAAACTTTCCTTCATGCTTTTACCAGGCTTAGGACTGGCTACATTATTTTCAGTTTTTAGTATTTTGTGTCTTAATTTAAAATTACAAAATATACCAAAAGAGTGTAGATTTCAAAAGTTTAATACAAACACAAGAAATAAACTCAATTATTTGGATTCAACTAAAAATAGAAAAATGTGTACTTTAAAAATCAAACACAAAAAACTTTTAAGTATTTATAAACACTTGTCCAAAAATTCTAGTTCAAGGTCAAAGCGCGTGAAATTAAATTCAACGATGCAAAAAATAGGCTATACTGCATTCAAGTTAGGGGACGATATAGATATGGGAGACACTTCTCTTATACATGAGACTTTGTTTATCGGTCTCACTGACCGAAATCAGACGTCTGGTATAAGAAATCTAGATACATACAGTACCATACTCGTGTACACACTGCTTAAATTTATACAGAAGAAGTAGTTGCTATTATATGACAACGTAGATTGTGAGTTATAGAGATAGAAAAAAGATATACTTACAGTATAACTTATAGCGTCACAAGTGTTTATATCTCGCCATTCTTCAGTCACATTTACATTGCGCGAACAAGGTGAATACCATACCCTATATCGTAATCCTTATTTGACACTCACTACCTAAATCAGAGGCTACAGTAACATTCCTGAAATTACATGAAAACAATACAGATAGCCTTTCTATGTCTGTCTTCCGAAAACTATCTTACGACTTTACGGAGGCTAACAATTTTATAGTAGATCTTAAAAGACTCAGACGAACATAAAACACAAATTGTGGGTGGTCTAGTCGTGAGCTACATCGTAATGAAGGTGGATATACACAGGTTGCTCTCTGATATGCCGTAATATTTATCGAATGTATTCGATACTACCAAACTTTCTAGGAAATCGGTGATCGCTTAAGCATAAAAGATATTGTAGATACTGTACAGATACATCGATCTGTCATAAATCAAAATGCGAGTTTTATGGTATATGGCATAGGAATATCAGGAGTATCCACTCATCCGGCAGCGGACTGTTCGTCGCGCGGGGCGATATCGGATTCAACGATATTGGTGCGATATATAGATATTGAATCTATATACGATTTATATCACCCACTCCTAGTGTGCGTGTGTGTGCGCGCACGCGTGCCTTTTTGTGTATGTGTGTGCTGACAGCTGCATCATATTATGACTGTTTTTGGTTTTTTGAACTCGATGGCGCTGCGCCATGTTGTCTGCTGCGTTTCTTCAGACTTCTGAAATAAATCCGAAATTATTGATTAAATTATAGAATCATTTTTACAATGATTTTTACTCTTTCGCGAAAGAACTTGGTTTACGAACGTAAATATTTGTGAGATAAAAGTGATTCATGTTATCACACTAACTCGCGTGCTATGGTTTTAATGTTCCTTTCCTGAAGAACGCAGGATAAATCCCATAAATGATAGCTAATGTGCAGTAAAAGATCGCAATAGACTAAGCACTCTATCTCACTCACACCCGCTTGAACAGTTGCTACCTCGCGCTCGCCCCTACAGCGGGCTCTCAATGTGTCTGGCAAGATGTAAGAACCATTCAAACTGGCTATTGGGGTAACTTTACTGGTGGTAGGACCTCTTGTGAGTCTTGTGAGTCGGATTAAGATCGGGACTAGACGACGGCCAGTCTTCAGCTCTGATGAAGTCCGAAACGTTCGTTTCCAACCAAGACTGCGTAGACCGAGCTTTATGACCTGGCGCCGAGTCTTGCTGGAAGGACCATTCTTGATTATTGAACATGGTGTTGTTA